GGAAATTTACTTCCAGCAAAGTATTAAGGAGCTTTAAACTGAAGAGAGGAAGGTGGTAACAAAAAATAAATCAGATTAAAAAAGACCACGCACGTCTACCAGAAATATCAAAACTAGCAATGGCAAAGCTAATTATCGCCGAACTTGATCACCCGAAACCAGGGTTTCCATCACCCTCACACCTGCCCCCGTCCAGCTCCCTCTGCGAATTATGGGAGAGAGGAGGGGAGAATCCAAATATCAGCTTAGCCCAGCCCCTTCCAGATCGGCAAAGGGAGATGACTACATTGATGAGGCTAGGAACATCAAAGTGTGGCACTCGCACACACACGCAGGGTGTTGCGCCATACGGGACAAGTCGCGCAGATTAGGGATGTGCGGTAGGGGGAGAGGACAAGTACAGGAGGCAGTTCAAAGGCCCTGCCTGCCTGATACGACTTTTGGCCGAAACCCATACCCCGTGGTGATGGTGGTAGTTGCGTTGGCATCATCAGGTGTGAATGCGTGTAACTTTATGATCGCCAAGAGAGAAAAATATGTGTATTTTTCTGGAGGAGATATTTAAATTAACTAATGAGCCTAATTAGCACACTCGCACACATATACGCGCAAAAGAGTGCCAAACATTTTTGGACCAATGCCCAAGGTACCATAAAATCAAGAGAATCAATAAATTTATTCTGGTTTCGCAGAGGAATGGCATTAGATTTTGTTTAAGAAAACATGACTACCCAAGTCTGACAACCCCGTGCCGCTAATTCTTCTGGCTCGTTCACACTCCATATACTTACGATTTCTTGTACCGAGGCTGATTCGTTCGCAGAAATGACTTAAAAAATTAACCAGCAACTGAATTAGGTGCACACAATGATGGCGGAATTAAGTACTATTTATCAACAAACGAATATCATCTTTCACTATTCAGCATACAATTTAGCTATGCAAGGACAAAAATGAGCAAACTGATAAAAAAACTCCCCATTTTGTCTTAATAAGCACAAATTCGGCTCATCATTAAGAATGGAGAAACCAGTCAAAGACAACACGCAGAGTAAGGCTGAACACCAATAAATATGATCCAGATATGGTTAATTCGCCTTTCGATCGGGTGTAAGACCTGTCTCCAAAAACGATTAGGTGTAGCTCACCAGCTATTCTAGTACTGTTTTCGACAAGCGCACTATTTACAAGTAAAGCATTGCTTTCCATACGCTGTATGAGATGCTTTTATGGGACCTAGAGGAAAAGTTACATGTCGCATTTCTCCCACCTCCTCACCGGCTTTACGGAGACTCCGTAAGTGTGGCTGAGAAGCAAAGCGATAAGAAGAAACAGACATGAAGGCTTAGACACTCGAAACTTCTCTTGAAGGCGTTCTTTATTAAGTAATTGCTTTTAGACATTTGGAATGATCCACACTTTCCGCCTTACCCCAAGCGAGTTCTCAAAGGACGAAACTCAAGCTTCAGTAGGATTGTCAGGAGGGATCAGCGACAATGCAGTCAGAAGCCTTCTCAGTTGCGGGCAGGTTTGACCACTGTTGTATTATCTTGGTGAGTGTTTTATTACATCATTGACTACGTTGCGACGCCAATGCTGAGTTATTCAAGATAAATCAGAGAGACTATGGTTCAAAGGGAAGTGGATTACGCAATACCTTCACTGTTTCTTGAGCCTCGTTTTGGCTTCACAAGTACTTGATGATCTGCAATTGTACTTTGAGAAAATGCCACTTATCAAAGCTAAACAGAAGCATTAGTAAACAGCAATTGATTGCTTAGAACAAATAACCGATTACCTTAAGTAAAGGCAAATGATAATTAAGTTACAAAAAAACCATGCAATAAACGGTTCACATCATATTTTGATCATACCATCGGTTCCCTAATCGTAAGAGTCAATGTACTACCCAAAGGTCAAAGACTACTTCTTATAGATGAAGTAAAGATTAAAATAAACTGGAACCTTCGTAGTGCCATTCGTTAGAAAGACATCATGCCAGCCCAATCGATTACCTAAACTCAAGTCGATTACGTAAAGATATCCGAATGTAGTAGTCGAAATACCAACCTTTACTGTTTGCAATTGATAGAGGGTCGATGAAAGAAGCTAATAGCAGTCAGCAAAGGACGAAAGCAAACCTGTATTCCTCTGCACCCCGCGCCTCAGTGAAATCAGATTCGGATGCGACAAAAAAAGATGCCAACCGTGGTGCATACGCGCGCTAAAAACATATCCGGCGAAGTATTTCTACATGCGTATGCGCCTACGACTGAGTTGTGTTTGCTAGGTCTCCCAAACGAACTTCCGACAAAGGAGGAGGATGAGGAGAGATGACTATCGCATGCAGATGAGGCGGATTCTAGCCACACAGAGATGGGGAGGTCTGCAAATATGGCGCGGTTGCGTACAATAGAGCGGGTCAGGAGGAGGGGACGTGGAGTGGACAAAAAAGCAGCACAAAAAAGGCGCGGCAGTACATAAGGGAAAATTTTGCACGTTAGAAACGTTTGTAACCCCTCTGGCACATTGCTAAGGTTTTTCAAGCTCTAAGCTAATGAACGAGACGAAAAATGCACACCATAACCAGGAAAATCGCTCGATCGTTTGCCAGATGTCTACAGCTACCAAAGTAAAGACGCCTGCCCCAAATTAAACATGAATTTGTAGAGTAAACAGTCAAAAGACGAGGCAATAACTAGTGCAAATGGACCTACGTAAATGATAAATCTACATAAGTTTTTGAGATAAAACTCAAGCAAATCATGAACTCGAAGGAAAATGCACAAGAAAATGCAGCATCCCCATTTTGAAACCAAATCTTTGCACGTAAAGAAGCCTGGGAAATGGGCATCACAATCGTCAGGAAGCATTTAGAGCAATCCGATTTCCACACTAGAATTCGTCAGCCGCTATACTGGAACGCATAACTTGACGAAGGCTAGGAAAGACAGCACGATTACGCACTTTCCGGAAGTGAGGAAATGATCACTGAAAGCAAGTAAATAGAAATAGTCACAAAACCGGAGGAATGTACATCAGACAGACCCGATGCTCCCAGTCAAATGACTCAAATATACACCTGTAATGGCCAAGGAGGCTGCTCCGATTCTCTGCTTTAGAGCTTGGCCTGGCCAAGAGGATATTTGGTGGAATATGAAAATCACCAGAGGGCGACAAGATATTCGGAAATCTTGACGATAACTTGTTACAAGTACGGCTGGAGATCAGAAAATGAAACATGCAGTAAGGAAACAAAAAAACCCTGAAATTATTAAGAAACAGTGGGACATGGAGAATCGAAACCACTTTAGCAAATTTATACGTTACCTGAGCGATCTCAAACAATTAAACTCAATTAGCCTTAAATCTGAGTCGCATAAATGATTCAAACAGGCGATTCGAGTTCGCACAAAGGAGAAAAAGAGCCCTCAAACGAATGGGAAAGTGCGCTTGTGACTTCTACACGTTTTTTTTAAAACGCCACTCTTTCAACCCCTTTTAAGGAAGGGAAAGGGAAAGTGGACCTTGTCGAAAAAACAGAGGGAGGGAGAAAGGACACAAATAGCGGCAAAAACAGTTACCCTTCAAAGCGAAAACCACCTCTTTTTGGAGTGTCAAATAAAGTGAACAAACATGCAAACCATGCTGAACGGCACTGAACAAATTGGAGTTAACTCACATCATCGACATGTAAGCATTCTAAGTGGAAGGAAGACGGGCATCCCTCACAGCAGACAATCTCCCCGGCCCTTGAGCAAATCAGGCACCAGGAGATGTTAGTTGGTCGAAACCAGTTGGCTAGTAGAAGACGTTGTTCATTTGAGAGGAGGATTAGGCTGAGACCCAGCTGTTTATACAAGGTGAGAGACGATTCAGGAGCCGATTTTTCTTCAACACAATTAGTATCCACGCCACTCCCATCACTCTGAACAGAAGGGTCTATTGTGGACGACGACGGCGATCGATTAAGTTCCACAAGGGTAGAAGGAAGAGCAGTATGTTCAAGTGAATGGGCCTCGGAGTGGGTAGGAGAGTGTGCGATACTGTTATGAAGAGAGGCTTCGACCTTGGGTTGTGATGGCTGAGATTTTTTAAGCTGAATGAGATGAGGTGGTGGTTGAAGAAGACTCTGCGGTTGGCTCTGTAACGCGTGGCGCGAGCAGACTATCCAGTATCGGGAGAGCTAAAAGCAGAGGGATTGTAGACAAGCCGTGATTTCAATTAAAATGGTACTACCTACTTAAAATTTGTAAGCAGATAGCAAAGTAATGAAAAAATAGCAGTTTCTATTTAGCCACAGTGATCGAAAGAATGTATCAATGTCGGAAAATAAATGAAATCCCAGGAACAGTACATTAAGTAATTCATTAAAACGGCAAATATGTTGAAGGAAATTAGAACGCAATGACATATTTTTATAAACCACAAAAAACAACATGAGTTAAGTCATCTTAACTCACGAAAAAATTTTCTTTACAGGACGCTTCCACATTTTCGCTTCCTGAATGAGTAATATGGAGCGTAATATCAGTCAACACGGATCAAAGTCGAACACAATTTTGCAAGAAATGATTACTAAGGTCAATCTGCCACACGTCACCCCAATAAAGCAAGGTAGTATTAAGGGAGGCAAACAGATCGTTTTTATGGAGCCCAACAAAGGTACTCATTAAACATAAGTAGAAAAAGCGAAACCACAAGCAGAAGCAAAGGAGGAGCTCGAGTGACCGCTTGCAAATAAAAGGTAGTTCTTGTGCCAGCAAGTCCGCTTGCGAGTTCCTTCGCACATATGACAAATACCACTTGGATATGCGTAATCTACCCTCGTCACAAATTAAAACTAGCCCATGCCTAGATAGATAAATTGATACTTCGAAAGATAAAGAAGAAAGGCCACAAGAAAAGTCTCGTTAAAACTGTTGACCACAGGAGTATTCAGCCTCATTGATCTCATTAGTTTAAGAATCTATAGCAATAACCTAAAGATTATGAGAAATCTATCGAAAGTTTCAGACCTTAAGACCTTGTATAGGACTTTCTACAGCAACAGCAACAATTGCTTGATTAGATGTTTACAAAAAAACTGATCGACTACACGATAAGACCAAAACAAAAGGTGGGTGGAAATGTAGGAAGTGTTGTAGGTCGTTCCATGGAACCGCATTTCATCCTGAGCCAATGCCTGGGCAAACTGATGGGTTTCTGATACTAAAGTTCTAATCAAACTTAAACGGAAGCAGCTCAAATATCGATCTAATTTAAACACCTACAAGACTGAGTACGATTAACTAAGGGATGTCGACGCAGAGAGAGTGGCTTAAAAGAGCTTCTTCTATGATAGAGTCAGGACGTAATCCAGAGTCCGTCATGATGGTAAGCTGATGTTGTAGTCGGTTTAATTTATGCTTCACTGACAAAATCCCAACCCAACCTAAAGGCCCTGTAAACGTATTACGCCACAGCCAATCCAGCAAGGAGAGCATTTTCATAAGAATGTATTTCTTGTAACAAGTCAGGATATTTCAATGAAAGTTCCAGAAGATGATACAAGTGAGGTGCTTGAAAAGGAAAATGAAACGCGAATTGTGAACTGTCACTCACTACCACCCACTATTTAAGTCACTAAGCCCTCAAGGTTTGAACACCAGTTGCTTGAAGAACGTCCTAATTTGATTAACATTTAAAAGGAGTTGATCGTGCTCAACACGATCCACAAAGCGACGAATTTCAACATGCTGTAATTTGACTGCGAAAGTCTTTCAATGCGGAGAACCTTCTCAATCCACGGCTGATCAGGACCAAAGTCTCAAACATACGAGTAAATATGCCGAACTACAATGGCCCAGAGGGTACGACACCGCCTTCATTAGTGGTAATAGTAATATTGCATGTCCAAACCTAATATTCAGGTGCTCTGTTTAGCGAAGTGAGCCTCAACCGTTGCACTTGGGAAGCCCAGATGCCATCATCGCTAGGTCCTGAAATGAAAACCTATCAGAAGGGAGCTGCCATCGCACATGGTATTACTGTACGACTACATGTGACCAGCAGCTCCTAGTACGCATTCCGTGAAGGCACACAAGACTAGGAGGAAAGCCAGCTGGGGGACAGAGACCCCCTTTTAAAGTGACTAATTTCAGGAAGCACAAGTCCCGTGGATTAGGAACTAGTATTGAAGAACGAACTGTGCAAATCCGATAATGGAGGAGAGAGCGACTTGCATCAGCTTTTCAGAGCCTCATTTAGAGCAAATGAAAAGTCGTTTGCCACTTACTATTCAACGAATAGCAGTTATACTACTATGCTCCTTTGTTTCCAAAAAAAGCGATTTTGTTCGCTTCGCCCTTCCTCCTTAGGCTGTTCCTCAAGATACCATTGCCCCCATTACTCAGCAACAAAACAATATCATAAGGGTTGCAGGATTAGGTTAAGCTGCTTTACGTCCTTTTAACTGTGCGACAGTCGAGAAATACAATCAGTTCTAGATAAGAGATAGAATGCAAGTGTACAAAGACTTATGAGGAAATAGACTTCAGCATACCATAATTTGATCTCACACAAGTGGAATAAAACTATACTACCCAAGTCTTAGCCCTTTCGCATTAATGAAGAAACCTCAACTGGCCAGGTGAAAAATTATGGATAATAGTTTTAAATGTGCATTAGAATTACAGGATAATTCATCAAAGCCGTGGCACCGATCAATAGTGGAACCACAAGAAATGAAATCCGAAGCAAAAACTGCCATTCCCTATCCTAGTTCTGTTTAAAAAAATTAACTGTAGTATCCGTAGAAAGGTACGGGATTATGAAGAACCAACACCTCCCCAAGTTGTAAAACTTGAAGATAAACTATATGGACAGCTGAGCGGCAGTAAAATTATGCTAAAGCGAGAGTGTATCGTCTCGACACTGCCTTAGAAGCTTACTAGGCGGGTTTGCCTTGAAGAAAATGCGCCTCCAAAGACCAGTCAGCACAAGGAAATTTCGGCGCACTATGCAATATGCGGCAGCATAGGTTCAAAAATACAACACATAACAGGTGGATCCATGGACATCAACCACATGCATCGCCATCTTTAAATTAATTCATTTCTATTAGTGATGGAAATACGTCCCACCAAAGAATCACGACAAAAATAAAGAGCAGCCCACAGAGCTCCTGAGGAAACATTTGGAGATATTTGAGCTAGACTACTAGAATGTGTGGAATCTTTCAAATATAGACCAAACTTACCCAGATAGAGCCAGCGGGAATACACCACTCATCGGCATGGAAGGTAGCTGGGCAAAGAAAGCAGTGTACAAAGTAGCTAGTGGGGTGAGGCCAAATGCCTGGGGTCTCGGCGTAGCAGGCCATGCAGGTGTGAGCGGGGCAATTAAAGCTCTCTGCACTGCCATCGCGCACCAGCAATTCGTGAGGCAGTCTTCGCAAACAAGTGGTGCGGTGAAACCACCGACGACAATTGGATGCAGCGCAACGGCGCAGCACCCGTTCATTTTGGCGACCACGACTACGGTTCAGGGCCGGCTGTACCTCCTGCACGAGAGAAGGCAGTCAATTGCTCGATGAAACAGGGCAATTATAAGGCCGTCCGCCGGGTTGGCTGCCCTATCCTATAACGCTAATCGGAACTCTGCAAAAGCTACCTTCGAGTGGTGAAACCTTTAAGCACAGGCATTCCGAAAAGTTGGTAATGTATTCCTAATAAAAATGGGACGATGGCTGAGAAACAAAATAGCTCCATCACCACAACCCACATCCACACAGATTGCATTAAATTTAGCAATGTTTTACGGTCAGAGCAGATGAGGCTAATGAATGACAGCGCAAATTCCCACAGGTAGCCGGCCGTACAAATTATCTAACCGAAACCCACCGCTCGGATAGAAGCTAGAAGGATATTGCTATATTTGCCTGTGCCTAAAAACTCAGTCAGCCAACTACTCATCTGGCATAAATTACTCGACGCAAACAAACCGACCGATTAACAAATGTAGCAACGGAGAGACTAATTCTAATTCTAATTCAAAAACTTCAACGATAGAATGTTTTACTTCTGAGGCATTTAACTGCTAGCATCTGGCAGAATTCGACGACACCTACAAGCAATGCTGTTAACATGATACGATCGTATACTTCGCCCATTCCACATGCATCGACCCATGATAAATCATAATTCTGAAGTAGCTAGCCCGTACAAGTCCAAACCCGTTTTCAAAACGCTGAGTTAATGGTTCCACTACAGAAAAACAGAAACCATACTTATGAACTACATTATAAATCTAGCCTTGGGTTATCGTAGCCTGACATAGTAACCACAATCCGCTATTCTCAAAAGCGAAACAACTTTAGATTTTAGCGCAAATGAGGCGGTACTGTGAATAATGATAATTCAATAGTAAAGAAATGCCACTATTGCAATAGAAAACACTAGTAGAATAGAGAGAGGGTACCGAAAAAGAAACTTACTAAGCAGAGGCAGCACTGACGAAGTCCCTCCCTGCAGAGGCAGCAAAAAACTTTTGGAGGCCCCTGATCCTCCTCCCAAGCACAATGACTATCTACGGTGGTAGCACAAACTAAATGTAGGTAATTTGGACAGCATCCAGCACACGGCACCAAAATCGGCCATGTTTGCATGGCTGCAGCCTCGATCTCGGTCAGTTTGCGAGCATATGCCTTTTGTGCTTTAGTCGCCTGCTTGACATGATTTGCGGTGAGGGAGGAGGAGATATGACGCTTCGGCTTTGGACTCCTTTTCGATCTCTTCCCCTTTTCTCCTTGATCTTCTTCCTCTTCAGTATCATCCTCCCCGTTGTCCTGGTCTTCAGCTGCCTCCGTCTCCTCGTCATCTTCATCCTCTTCCTGCCCCTCCTTCTTATTTTTTGGTTTCAGCACCAAGCGACCCGGCTTTAGGCAAATGCAGCAGATAAAGCGGGCTAGTGCGTTACCTTTGAAAACGTGGAGTAGAGACTTGAATGCGAATTCGTTCTTGGGTAGAGTTGCCGGCTGGATAAAGGGGACACAGGTGAGGAAAAAACGTAAAACCGAAGCCAGTTCTCAGATATCAGTAAAACCAATCACATTTGATGAATGCAGCACTTCAGCATCGATAATTGATTACCATCAACTACCACATGCCCACCGAATTTCAATAGGTAAAGTGGGAACTCAGCAGTTAGCTACCTGTGTTAAAGATTGAAGTTTACTTAAGATAGAATACAGATGAACTGACCTGCTGTTTCGCAAGGGTAGTGTAACGTTCATCCACCGTTGTTGACTCAACTGAAATACCAAAAAAATACGGGTAACATACTGACTTATATTTACCCATGAGGCAGGCAGTTGTCACACACCTACGCCACTCTTCTTTAGTCTAGTAAGCTTTGCTCTTCGCTCCATGTCCTCAATTTTCCATATTTCTCGAAGAGCAGACAAGTCAAGTTGGAGGTACCTCAGTCTCGAGAGCAGAGACTTTTCTGACATCATTTCCATTTCCACCAGCTTCTCTCTGGCCAACAACCAGAACTGTTCTTGATGCGTGGGGACAGTAAAATTCGAAATAACTACCGGTTTTTCAAGAACATGAAGCAATGAGCTTTGCATAAAGGCTTCAAACGCCTTCCGAGTCTTGAGGATGCGCAAATTACATCGAGGAACAAAGAAGGAGACCATGTCTTCAAGATGAGGTGGGGAACTGATGAGCATTATTCGATAGTAGAAAACTTCTTCGCCGTCTTTATTCTTGCGTTTAACAGGCCGAGAACTCACCACAAGACCCGGCCACCACGGTACCCGGTACTTTGAGGGCAGAAGAGCCCACACCAAAACTCCTTGGGCTAATTTGGAAACCATCTGCATCTTTGAATTCAGTACGTGGTACTTGGAGGCTGCGCCGACAGAACCACCAAATCGGTACTTAGAAGAGGTAGTGCACGTCGAGCTCTGCCGGCAGAAAGAACTATTCCGCCTTATTTGTTTTGGACATCCGTTTCCTTCGCGAGGCAAGGAATCAGAATCCCTCTCTTGGCCATCTTCCACCTCCGCTTTAAAGGGTTGCTCTGACTGTCGGTGCAAGTGCGGAGAAGACCCGAGTTTGGAACACTCTGAGCGTGTGGAGGAAAGAGATCTACATTCCGAAGAAGCAGGATCAGAACACGGCTCTGGACTGAGCATCACTGTACCGTCCCACCCGACACAGGACTGTGGAGAATAGGAATTACTATCCTCTGATTGTGGATCAAAATCTCGACTCTCAAACTTAGTTTCAGTTGTTGAGTTGTCATCAGCATTTGAGGAATGTGTATGACCAGTGTCCATTTAAACTGCGCCTTGCATTAACCCTGTAAGCAATAAAAATTATGCATTAAGCGAGTGACCTATACCATTCTATAAATTATGCATTCACTAAAGAACAGGAGCATCAGCACCTAAGTGAAGAGGCGAAAAGATGAAGACAGCTGCAAGACGAAAAGATTTATTTACTAACACATCTTTACATTTTAGAAGGTACAATATCCGGAAGAACGAATGCTTTGCCCAACTTTTGAAATTCGGCCCTAAAGACCGTCAATAAAGACCTTCCATACCTTAACAAAGTCGAAAACTCCTCCTCTACGATATCGTCATCCCAATTATCCTCCCAGAGGGATACTTCGCCATTATCTTCACATGTACCAATCGTGCAACCTATGTGATTTGTTAAATCCCGAAAGTAGATACTGACTATCTGCCGGAAATTCCTCAAAATCGTCGTCCGCTTCAAGAATACCTAAATCGACAACTGGTTTAGCTTTGTTCGAGCTGTTCTCGTCCTTAGAGTTCGCAGCCATGAGGACGCCGAGGCCAGTTACTAGACTTCAATTGCAATTCGCCCGGGAAGAAGGTAGCAGTATCTTCATCATAACGCATTTCTTTTGCTAAGATTAACTTAAAAATTGATTGAATTAGAGTTGTTTGCGCAAATTTAACTTATTAAAGGAGTGATACGTGCATGCCAGCAAAACTCGCACAAGCATACTCAGCATTTTACGTGAAATTCTGGGTTAGAGAACGGCCCTTACTGTTTTCTATACCCACTGAGAAGTCTCGAGACGCTACAGACAGCGTAGTATAAAATGTGTGTATTGTTGGTCAACTGACAATCATTTTGTTATTTATCTCGCGATTGCTTTTATGTAATGCATTCAATGCGTTTAGTTGTCATTCTGTTATGATTTCTCGATCAACAAAGTGGGAGGCTAGGTGACAATATTATTAAAGCGTAACGCTAAATTCATGTTTTTGTCATATTACAGTCAACAAGTTAAATGAAGGTAAAATAAATTTATATATATAGACTAATATTTCCATTTTTTAACAAAAAAGACCATTGCCTTTTACACCATGACCCTCTGAAGAAGGCATTCAATAGTCTTTGTTTTGAGTTCGTTTTATTTAGCCAAGTCCGCCGTCTGGTCTTTTCAAACCTTCGGTTCATGAGTATGAGTTTTAGGCGTCAGCCTCTGGATAGGGTTAATCCTAGGTTTGTTCCTCCAAGTCGGCATACAATTTTTATTCGCGGCCTTCCTGGTTCTACAAATGTAGACTCAGTCAAGTATCAACATCGTCCTTGCCTAATCACTTTCGTAGAAATCACTTTTCCTCCGAAACTAATTCAAAATGCACGGTGGAGTTTTTCTCAACTTCGGAGGACAAAGTTAGGTTTTCTGTGGCAATAAGGTTTAAAAGCCATGAAACCGCACGGGAAATGCTGGAAAAGTAGTGTTTTTATTTAACTTCATTCTTTAGATATAATGGGAAGGAGCTACTTGGTCATCCAGTCGAAGTGACTTGGTTTAAGGATCTAAAGAAGGCCAGAGCTCGGGGTAAGTTTCGCCATTGAGTGGTCACTTTGCAGTGTATGAGGAACAAAGACACAGTCGTTTTCGAGCTGTAAGGGGGGGATTCAGGGGAAACCATAGAGGATTCCCCGATCGTAGAGGTCGCCCCTATTCACCTAATCGTACTAGGGAACGTTCCTATTCTGGTGGTCCTCCATCGGGAAGGCGCTTTAGTAGTCGTCCATCAGTTTCTTCTCACTCATCGTCGCGGTCACGCGTTGGCTCCGCCACTCTGTCTCCTAAGCGGTATGTTGCTTAACTGTTTTTTTTTTGCATAGACAAAGTGGAGCATCTTGAGTGACCTCAATTTTAGGAGACGATTAGCACACGACCTGGAAAATGATTCTATACAAGGCAATGAAAGCCTGTCCAGGATGTCGCGAAGGCGATTCAGAAAATCACGAAGCGCTTCCTCTCATTCACGTTCCTCGTCGCACTCAATTTCGAATCGCTCCTTGTCTAACCGAGGCACTATGCCTCCTCGGCGCGGCTCGTTTTCATATCGTGGGTCGGCCATGCGACAATCTGGCCAGGGTGGAAAGTCACCGGATAACACTCGTCCTAGTGAGCTATCAAGTATTTCCCGTTGATTATTCTTTTCTCGTAGTAGTTTTGGGGAGTGCTTTATTCCTGATTAGGCTTTTCCAATGCTCCGTTGGTCGGCGGTGGAGAACGTGAAGGTAGTGGTTTACTCAGTGGTTTGATTCAGCTGTCTTCCAAGCGCTTGCAATCACAGCCTCCTCAATTTCGTGAGTCTGCCTCTCGTAGTCGTTCGGCATCCTCTCGTTCGTCCTCGAAGTCAGCGTCACCTAGAAGGCAGCACCAACGGCAGAAGCATCATTCTCCAATCTTAACGGGTCTCCTTCCTAATAATTCCAAGAGTCCTTCTCTAGCTAAAGAGTAGGTTAAGTTTTTCTTTTTTGGGCTCGGTAGCTTGTTATTGGTTTTTTTCCCTTTAGATCAAAACCTTCGGCCGTTCTTACTGGTTCCAATTGGAGGCCGGTGAACTTTTCCGAGGAGGCTGTTCGAGATTCAGCACCATCAGGCTCCCTTTTCGCTGCTTATAGCGGGAAGCCCACTGTTGCTAACGGTAAAATCATTTTCTCTCCTCTTATCACGCACAAAGCCGGGAACAAAGTGGCTGGCATGGACAATGATAACAGCAGTAGGAGTCGCCGTAGCAGTCGTAGTAGTAGCAATCGCAGCCGTAGGCAGGCTGAAGCCAGTCCTCCAATTATCGAAAAACCAGTGATCAGAGCACAAAATAAAGCTCGGGAGGAGTCTGCCGCTCTTGAGATGACTCAGATGACTCCAAATAGCAAAGGTCCTAAAGACAAACAGACTCTTATTCAGGAAAAGAAGGCAGCTATTGAAGAAGTAGTTCATCTATTTTATTTCATTCCATCTTTAATAGGAGTATAAGAAGGATTGTGAAACGTTTGCTACTGTTGTGAAAACTCTCATCAGGTTAGTTCATTTTGCTTGCGATGATGCTCTGCCTTTTGGCTGTTTGTGTGTGTGGTCTAATCGTCTTTCCCTACCTCTACTACTATTACTCCACAATGCACTCTTTTTTAGCCTCTATACACTGCCAAGGATTGGTTTACTCTGGAGTTGTTATTCCATTTATTTGCGAGGTTGAGAGAGTTGCATCCCAACTCATCCCTTACTGTTGTGGTCTACTATTATTTGGGGCACGTATTGCGGCGCGCGTATGCGATTATCTTAACGATCCATTTTCCTTTAAACCGCTATCCCCATCTCCACTCTGTGGTGGATGATTCACTTTATGACTTTGTATCTCGGGCGATTTTTTGCTAAATGAGTGAAAGAGAGGAGCCTTATTTTACCCATCATCTGTCCTGTCCTTTATTGGACGTTTTAATCCCGTGTGTACTATTCATTGGGCACGTAAGTTTGTTTACACGTTCCCTTTGTTGTTGATGGGCACGATTTGATGGGCTATTTTAATTACATTTCGGCTTCTCACTTCATTTTGATCTGCACTGTGACGAATTAGCTTTGTGTTTGTGTTTTGCAGCAAGGACAATGAGCTGGAGGAGCGGTTGTTACCGTTGTTGAAGAAGGTTCTACACGAGCGCGGTCAGCGGAGCATTGAGGATTTACGGGTCTACATTGAAAGCGTGGAGAATGGAAATGCGGGAGCGGATAAATGACTAGTAAAGAAGACAAGGAAAAGGAGAGCAACGTTTTTGTTGTGTAATGCACACATACGTACACTTTTGTTGTTCATCATGTTTTTATCGATCATTTTATGAATTTCATAATGAATGTACAGTCGCTGTAGGACACTACTGGCGGTCTTTCTCAGCTTCACTGTCCAATGGAGTCCCTGCAAGCACCTTTATTTTACGTAAATCGGCGTTATTCTCGGTTTTTGCCACGGCTGGATAATTGTTTTAGGATCTGGGGGCGGTAACTTGTCGCTTCCACCACATTCACATCATCAGCAATTGGGAATGGTCACTGCTGCGAAGCCTTATTCGTCTCGTTAAGTGTTGTCTTGTAGGCGCCAGGGGAAGCAAACTGATATCCCCCGAAGCCCTTATTGGCGAAGTGGTGGTCTTTATTGTGCTTTCACTCATTGTGCGTTAGTAGGTTGCCTCATCACACATTAAACGTGGTCGAGTGTTCTTTTGCAATCGAATATGTTAGCTCTAAGGGGTGAGAGGGAGGATGTGGGGACTCTCACCCTCATGTAGTGTCACTGTTCTGTTTTACGTGATGTACGCGCTTGACAGTTTTCTGTGGATTACAATAGTTCATCAAAACAAGTGGTAATGGGAATCGGGAGGATTTGTCTCAGTGTCTTCTTTATGTTATATGGTAGTTAAGGTACATTTCATTTCAAGCAGGATAGATTTAACAAATCGGGTTGGCGGAGTTTGTCCCATCTTTTTCAAGCCAAGTAGAACTTTGGTGAACGAAGCAGCTGCTTGCTGGGTGTCTCGCTGCACTATGCTGTGGTAGTTGACGGAGGGAGTAGAACATCAGCTAGGTGGATCAAGAAGTGTAAAGTCGCATTCATTGATTGAAGGATCGAACTTAATGTAACAAGTTTCAAGCCTCGGTGCAGCGGTGATTAATTTCAGCAGAACCTGGAGCCAGCGCCTTTGCGACCAATACGATCAGAGGACGACGTGCTTCCTTTCCGCAGGAGACTAGCTGCAGTATTTAATAAATTTGCCTTTAGCTAAGAAGGTGCACTCCTACCAGATCTGAAATTAATTTCTGTTTATTTATTGTTCACAACTATTGTGAGAACGCTGACCTAAAAATGGTGTAATTCATTAAATGTGGGGTTCAAGTAATCCCGTAGAGATACGATCTCGTGTCGATTCTTCCTTGTCACTGTTTCCATTTCGGCTCTACTTAGCCATGTCTACCATTTACCTGGTGGAAAGGTTGTGGTATCGCTTGCCCATTTGAGGCAGTCACATGCGTGACGTTGACTTTTACAGGTGGTTCGTACCAAAAGCTAATTCTTCTTCCACCGACAGGACTGGAGCATTTGCCTAAGACTGACATTATCCTCTTCCCTTTTGGCAAGTCTCGACGCTAAATTTCCCGTGTGTAGCATGTGTGTCCCTTTGCGCATTCAGGAATTAAAATTGGGATTGAAATGCTTTTGTGTTGCTTGATCAGATTTTGCTTCCCCGAACTAAAGAGGACGACATATTGGATCTGTATATACGTCCACGATGCACAGTGTTCAAAAACCACCCAAAAATTACCCTTAAATGATGTCAACATCATTATTTTTGGTTCCTAGGGAGTGCATTTTTAAGACAATGTTGATACTTGCTGGTTCTATTTGCCTTTCAAAATTCGTCATGCAGCCGGAGAATGTAGGATGCACAAACTAAAAGCGGTCATTGAGTAAAATAATTTGTTTAAGATAGTTATCCAGAGTAGGATTTTCTATAGGTTCTTTCTGAGTTCTGTCCAGCTGGCCTAAGGACGGAGGTACCTTTATGTAGGTAGGGTTGACATTCCAAAACAAAAAATGGTGCTAATCATTTTTGGCTTCAGGCATTGATTAGTACTCCTGTAAAACGCGATGATGAGGTGTAACTTGAAGGCAGTTGTCAGTGCCAATCCATCTGCTAGGTGTCATTTCAGAGTCTCCTATCTACGGCACATGTCCTCCCTTCAATGCGTCAATTTTTTTTACATTTATACTTGAAGTATACGGCACTAATGCTGCTTGACTTTCGGTGCAACCAATGCGGTGCCCACTTCTTCCCCAAAGATGCAAAAGACGGAATTTGAGAGCAGAAGCTGCATTACTGTCATGCAGAGTTGATGGGTGGTGGGAATTCAAACAGTATCTAAAGGTTGGCCAATTTGGTTTGGAGACGTTCTATTTCTAGTCGATGTCGGTAAAGTCTATGCCACTCCTATCGCCCAGCACAATTGGCTTGACTGGTAGTTATTACGAGAGGAGTCTCGAGACTTCAATGTTAACACCGCAAAATCATCACGCATAAAATTACTGAATATCCGTCATCTTGTTAACAGCATTAGCATTTCGCTTTCCATCGTCCTCGCCTCAAGTGTGCCAATGTTCAAACTTTCTATACCGTTGTATTTCCCTTCAGAAACTGCTTAAATTATGGCATGCATCCATAAAAGTAATAGATTAAAGACTTTGCAACAATGGTGAGCACCTCAGGAAACGTTATTTTCCTTGAAAGACTGCATTACATCACCATTTCCACACACAGACGTTCCTCCTACAAAGTTTCATCACCGATTATGCGTTTGAAGCGTTGGATAAATACTTACAGGAGCGTCCAGCGTTAGAGGCTTTAAAAGGTGGCAGTACAACAACGGTCAGGAGCGTCACTAACCTGCATACAACCGGTTGGCTACTTCAGCAGCCTTAGTACCCATTGGACCAATCAAATGCGTGCGGTTGACTGTGCGCACCGCACTAAACGACATCGTACTTGGAGGTGTTTGCAAGCCTTCCACTATGCTTGTTTCAGTGTTCTTGAGTTCGAGCAAGCTGAGTTGTACTCGTTATGCAATCAGCTGCGATGGATAGAGGTGGGCCACTCTTGCTACATGACCACTTGACATCAAACTACACCATCCTTTTGTGAACCTGCAAATTCAGTTCCAGATTGGATAAATTGATATGCATGCCTTATTACGCATTTTCCAACCTAATTGATGGGTTTTTAAAACAATTTTAATGCACTTAGTTGGTCGGCCCTCGATCTTGGTTCCGGTCACGTGGTTGACTAGTCCGCCAAAATCTCTTCAGTTCGTCTGATAGGCATTACGTCCTATCATTATGGCGTTGGGAAGCCCTCAAGCCCCTCCCTATGTTATTAGTACTCAGCGTTAAGTTCTGTTTCCATTTTTCTTACTACGGATCAAATCGAAATCATGCACCTGAGGGTTATTTTACAATGGTATGGTTTTGATTCTTTGTGCATTCAGCAAGTGAATGACACAATCAAGTCTCATTTGTGCTGTCGTCCATCTGGTCCTCGGAGTACTATTAACGTTCGGTGGATCCCAGAGTACATGACAAAGAGTCCCTGCCCCAATATTCCAACTTGATTCGCCAATATAGGCTGAGATAATTGTTCAAATGAATCATTAACGTCCGATGCCGCCTCCAACACGAGGTAGGCTAGTGTTGAATTGCGGCAAAGCAATCTTCCTTTTGTCTGTAAAATTTAGCTGTGGAAAAAGTGACTGAATGTAATTAAATTTAAGAGTTTCATCTAGCCTTATGCTGACTCAACAAGGACATCATTTGAACACTGATTTGAGGACGTGAATGACAACAAGGACTTACATAGCCAGTTTTTTTTAAAGCAATCTCCTTAGTCATCAGTGTCACTGCTTCTCCTTGCAAGTGACTCTAAAACGCGTCAAGGCTTTAACATGCGCTCCATTCACCAATCCAAGCGACTAAGAATGTGTTACTTTTCTTGAGTTTGCTGTATTGGGTTAAAATATGACAATTAGCAAACATTTTTATGTACACAGGCTTATTGGTTTGGCATCCTCCATTATGATGCTTTCTACTGCATTCCACTTAGTTTAAGGCATTTGAATTAGGTGGCTAACATTTGAAATTGCCCTCATTGCACGGCAAGTTTAGTTATGCTGCAAAGCGTTGAAAGCAAGCTTTGAGAAGGCATGGTAGCAAGATGCGCAGTCCACACTCTTATGGATCGGACAATATGGAAAGTTTGGCCAATAAACCGCTCGAACATGATGCAATTCTCTCGGAGATGAATTCGAACAATCACAATGACTTATGAAATCCTTCTATTCATTGTTGTTGTGGGAAATGGATCAGCATCGAAAATGAGAATGCAGTCAAGTGAATGGATACCACCCACATTTAACGTTCAAGTTATATTTCCATTATGTAATCCCATACGAAGCATGTTCTAGGTCGCCACCTCGTACACACACCACTTCTTCCAATGAAGACTGCTTACCCACCCTCCTGGTGTGTTAGTACTCCCAAGAGGTGCAAACAACCTTGCCAACTGTGCCTAAACAATTAGGGCGAGTCAAACAACAGTTATAGCCGCTCAGGAGATTGCTTGTAATTCACAATTCTCTTCCACAGTGAGTGATAAGGAGCACAGATGACCAAGTCCTGACCTTAAGGGCAACTGAAAATGACCCATTACGTAGACGAAGTCCCGTTGCATAGGTTCCAGTGAAAGAGATCTTGATAAACCCTCCCATCTTCCCAAAGTAGAAGTTATGTCAAATAGCCTGTTGACAAGAGCACCTTCATTTGGCCGCATTGCTGAACATCAAGACAATGGAACGTAGGGTGGGCAAGTGAGTATCTACCATTCTATCGACACACGTCGATACACCAATATAGAGTAAACAAATAACAACAACATAGTGCAGATAGTTTTTTATACAGCTTTCAATCCAAAAAAGATAAAAGTTTCTCCGCTTGTTTTTTGGCCGCCGCATACTCCTCCGAAAGAGGATCATAGAGGGGGTTTCGACACTGCATCAACACAGCTTCCAAATCGCTGCCACAGGTGAGATCTGAAATGAACTCAAATTCTCCGACCATTGCCTGGATCTGTTCGAGTTTTTCATTTAACACCGTCCATTTCTGTTCCATTGACCCATCAGAGGAATCGCGTTCACACATAGAGTTTTTCACAAAATCCTCTATCCCCAAATCCGGATGGTTTCGGCCAAGTTCCAGAAGTACTGCAAGTGCGAATTGGCTGGGTGAGTGAGTGAGACATAGATCTGTCTGAAACCACTTGTGAATAATCTCGTAGCCCTCCTTCTTCAAGTTAGCCATCATATTGGCAGTTGTCACCTCCTCACCTTCTGTCTCCATCGCCTCACCTCGGTGAATCCTGCGATAGGCGAGGAAGTCCACCAGTAAACCGTTTAATGGACGATACGGTGTGTGAATCCAAATATCGTATTGAAGCTTTTCCATGAGAAAGAGCTCTGAGTGGACAATTATTTCACTGTAATGCTCGCGATTGCGTGGAATGTGTGCTGCAAATGTCTCCAGACCTAGAGGATAGTCGGCCACCTTACAAGCGAGGTAGAGGGCAGTAAGCATCATCTCACGCGGAAAGTAGTCCATCACAGAGTTGTTAAGGTAGAATCGCTTAAGGTAGGTTGCTGCGAATCCGAAGACCTGACAAGAAAGCGCATTTTAGTGCCTCCAAGTGTGGAAGAATTCTGCTGCTTTTCTGTGCGTATCTCTGTTAGCGTAATACCGAAATTAGAGGATACTCATGGCGACGAGCAATACATGAGTGCGCAAGCAATTCACACGACATAAATGAATGATTTCATGGTTACAGCAGGATCGACTCACATCAACAGGCAATCCAGAATCCGAAAACTGATAAAAGAGTTCCTTCATGGCAAAGATGTAGCGCTTCACAATGATAAACTCTTCCTCGGCGGTAAGAAAATTCGGTTCCGGTTGAACGTCCCCGCTCTTAGCCTCAGCTTTCGCCCGAAACTGCGCTGCGAGACGTCTCCGCGCAGATGCATTGCACTCCTGGCGCTGGTTAGTCAACTCGTCCAGCGTAAACCGCCAGTTATACAACTGCGTGCTCGTAACGTAAGCCTTCAACATGAGCAATCAAACGAACCACTTAAACGCCATTATTAGAAACATAATCGACTTAATTTCCCGCTTACTTACAGCACAAGCAAAGCACCAGACTTCTTTACGATCAATGAAGGTAACATTGAGCATAAACACTACCATACTTTGGAAGGAAAGGAATAAGTTAATACGCAAAATTTATTAAAATGAAACAGCAGAAAACAATCATGGACGACGATGCAGTGTTCAGAAGAAGTCACTCTTCGTCCATAGGAACCGGTTCACAAGATTGGGTGGGTGCGGCAACATTCGATTCCTCTGAAGGAGTATCTGAAGTCCGAGACAAAAGGGGCACTATATTCTCCTGTGGGTAGATTGAAAAGTCCCGATCTTTGCCAACAACCGCCAAGGCGCAGTTCTAAACAAAAAAGCAAAGCAAGACAGCCTCTTCTTAAAAGTAAAGAATGGGGAACAAGGGCAGGAAATAAGCGATTCTAATACAAAAGTAGCTAGAAGAAGTGAGACCAGTCACTGAGCTATGACAGCTATGTAAGCAGCGCAGATGCCCAACTTATTTAGTTCCTAAAAGTTAGAAGCTAAAAGAACGCCCTACCTTTCCGGAGAGTTCTGTCTCAGCAGGAAGGCAACCCTTGAGAGCTTTTAGACCGTGAACGATGAGTTCATCGACAGTACTATTTGGAAACTCATCAAGGTGACGTTCAAGGTAGGTTCTGGCCGACTGAGACCGTGAGCCAACCGCAAAGGCTTTACAATCATAGGCATTTGAAGATGGGCACTAAAAGAGTCGTAGTTAGCGAAAAAGATGAGAGATACCAAGTAATATACATGCGGACCTTTGTCATCGTAACCAGTGATGAGCATCCCCACACCAAAAGGTCTTCGACCATACTGCTGCGTTGGGACTTGCATCTTCAAAGATATCTTACTCAGCAAACGAGAAACGGGTAACGGTTCGTCATAAGCCCACCGATTATCTGCACATTCCCGACGCATGAACCTAGCAAGAAGGAATCCGTCAGCAGTGAGGCCAGTGATTGCCATTCCAATGTGCGAATCAATAGGAATGAGCTTTTCTTGATAAGATGACAGTTCAGAAGGGGCTCTTTTAAGTGCAACGATGACACAATAGTCCTTGTTTTTTAAAGCAACAGCAGCAGAGCCCTGCTTTACAGCCTCCATGGCATATTCAATCTGATGAATACGCCCTTGAGGGCTCCAAACCGATACGTCGTGATCATATTGGTTCCTAAACATTTCATATGCTTGAGGCTAAATGCACGAGCGATTAATCACAGAATGTCCTTAACTCCTATTGGTTAGTGCTTCAACGAAAAGGAATATGAACAGAATAATATCGTTCAAAGACTTTACATTTCGCAATAAAAGATGGCATGAATGATAGACTGAAGGGCGGTAGTGACATTACGTACAATAAAAATTCAATTCAATTGATGTACAATATAGTTGGTGCAGCCAAAGTGAAAAATGGCAAAATTGCAACAAAATGAGCATTTTAATGTCAAAATTGCTACATACAACATAAGTTTACGCATTTCGAAAGCCTCAACTTGTTATTTACTTCAATTCGATTGGGATCTACAATGGTGTTTGAGGCTACATAAATTGAGGGAGATTTTTCACTGCACTGTTATTTTACGCAATATTACGATGCAATTACGTCGAGCATCCGCGTGACACATGCGGTTGGGCTAATAAAGGTAAAACTATATGAAGGTCCTCAACAAAATTTACAATGCTTACAACAGCGTAACAGCGGTCCCGTTGTTGTCGGAATCTTAAATTTGCCCACGCAATCGTTTAGGCAATCATTGGCTCAGGCACTGTCATTATTACAAACGCTTCAGTTGGGCAATCGCAGACCAGACTAACTGTTATCGCGCACACTCAGGGGACATTATCTCCCCCAATCTCCCAAAATTTCCTAATCCACCCCAACTTTTGGTAACACCTCAATTGTACTATGTACTATGCGATCCTTGTACATACTACTGCCTGCTAGCACGTGTAGACATTAATTCGACTTGAGCTAGTTGAAGTGAGAGCTCAGGTAGGAAGTGCCGACTGCTGTGTTCCTTCAACTACATAATTCAAGCACGACTTTGATTTATTTTGTGTACAGAAAACAAATGTAATTGCAAAATGCTTACATTTTAAACAAAAAATCCTAGACATCAATAAAATCTGCATTTTCACATCAATATACAGACAGTGGCATTCACATTAAATTGGTGCTTTCATCGATGATTGGTGGTGGCCGACTTCGGTGACACACAATACAGTCGCCGTCCCATCCGCTTAATCCTTACCGTCAACGGCTTCACTGTACCCAGTGAACTTTCGCTCTCTGAGATTCCATCGGAATCCAGAGCAGGGGCCACTCCCGCTTCTTTGGAAGCATAGAGAGCGAAAAGTAATCTGTCCTCTGCGCGTTGCAGCATTGGTGGGGTAGGCGAAACAGCTTGTAAGTGGGGTGGGGAAGGGGTATTGGCCAAAGAGGAAACCGAAGTAGTCCACCCTCTTCCACCTTCCCCAGAGGTGTAGAGAATAGGAGGAGTGGGAGTTGGCCTATGTTCTGTGATATCACCATCGCCAGCGTTGTCGTCAGAGTCGTCTTTGACAAACCACACATCCTGGTTCCCTTCTGCCGCCTCCTGACAAGGTTGCTTGCGAACAATGACAAGTCGAGGAGTAGTAGAGACGGCAGGTAAAGTGCTGAGAGAGGAACAAGTGGAGGTAGATTCCAGCGACAAATCAACGTGTACGGGCCCTGCGGGTGGTTCGAGGCGAGAGGAACGACGGAGGAAGTAGGTGGAGGGAGTTGGAATTGCGAGGGTGGTGGACACAGTCTCAGATCGATGCGCTTTACGACGGAATCGACTTTGAGATGGTATCTGTACTGAAAGAGCTTCGTCGGCCTCCATTGCAGCGATAGTTGAAGTGGATGAGGAAGAGGGGGAGGAGGGAGCAGGAGAAAGGAGAGTCGCGCGAGAAAGACGAGGTGGTATCGGCGGGCCTGAAATTTCTGAAAACGAACGAAACGTTCGAACTAGCCATAAGATTGACTTTTCCTCCACCTTGATGCCAAAAAAATGCGAGACAGCAGCTAGAGTAAACGCCACAAAAGTGGGACAATATACCAGAAAGAGTTTACGACTTAGGAATATTTATGTCTCTGTTAGCAGTAAAATGTGCATTCCGCCCGTGAGTAAGAAATAGAAATCAAGGTGGTCAGGTGATCTGCTTGTCCTAATTACTTCTCAAGGTGTGTTTACCTTGTACAATCCCGAAATCTTATCTAAAGTTGTTGTTTAGCTCCTAGAAAAGTAGACTCCTAACGATACGTTATTTTTGCATCATTACAAGGAGTATCCTCACCCCAAAGTTAATGCTCAAGACAGTGATTCATTGTTGTTTAATTGACCGAGAAAATTAAGAACAACAAATTAGACCCCATCTATTTTGCAAGATGTTTTCAAAACTTCGTGACTTGGTTCTGACCCTTAGTACAGACAAGCACAAATCAAGCTTCCTTGTTTCAATCGGAACTTGATGAGTAAGGGATAAAATCAACAGCAGTATAAGGTCTTTTGGCTGTACAATATTTAAACCTTACCCAAATGTCGGATGATGTACCACCTAGTATTCAAAAACCAATAATTTCAGAGAGCCTATCAAGATCACTTGAAAAATTTGGTAACTATAAATAACCTACTGTGGAGAGAAGGCCCCAAATTTCTAGTCTTCATCGCCATTGGGACTGCTGCTGTGGGTGCAACTCTTCGCGAACGTCGTCGTCTCCGCACCACACCAACCCGCCCAGGTTGTGTCTCAGCATATTTCCTCCTCTTACCTCCCAATGCCACTTTACTCTGAGCAGACGAATGTGTGGTTGATGCCGCCCTAGTGGAAGCAGTGGAAAGTGCCGATTTCCTAGGCCTTAGAACAATACCCTCTCTGGATGTTCGGTGACTTGGCTGAGATTGATCCTCGCCCTCCAGGTGCTGTGGTTCCTGCTGGGATGATGCTTGATTGAGAGACGAAAGCATCGCAGAGTAAATTTTCGCTTTTACCCGAGTCAGACGCGAATTTGTGTGACGCAGACTGTAGGCAGCAGTGCTAACAACATTCCGTGCTAGACCCGTGGAGAGACCCTTTACAAGGAGACCACTCATTGCAGCGGCTGCTGCAGTAGGTTCGGGTATCGCAGCACGTGTGAATGCCGATTTCGATGGAGCAATAGCCGCTGCGCTACCTCGACTGCGAAGGTTGGGGAGTGTGGTGCGGTGAATAGGAGCTATAAAATACGGAAAAATGGTTGAAACTTCAGTCTTGAAAGAAATAAGAAATTGCTTACAAGATAGCTTTATGAATCTATTGTAATTAATTAACGGAACGGCAATGTGTAAACAATGTCGATAAGCAACCTTGAGAAAAAAATCCTCCTATTAAAGCGGTAGCAATCCGCACTAACCCGCAACAGCCACCATAAGAAATTTTTAGAGCGACTGCATGGTAGTAGAAAATGAACGGCTTTGCATGACAATAGCCGACAACCTACCCGACAATATTCCAACAACTCATTACAATTTGAAGAAATGTAGAACAGTCTGCGTAAATTAACGTTTCCAAGAATCCGACTTTGGAAGAACTCAGGTGGATATAGGCTACATTTTAAGGAACGATTAAGGTGAGTGCTACCAAGGAGGCTTAGAATCAAGAGCTTCAGCATACAACGAATCGTTACCCTTGGATTTTAAAGAACCGTCTCAACAACAACAACTAAAATGGCAACACCTTCACACACTTCTGGCTAAATCTTTCAGCATCCACACATTTCAGCTCCATCCAAATCTCACCAGGTAAATGACGGAAAAATGGGACGTGAAACCCTAGTAAAGTTGTTCCCTAAAGTTCATCCATTTCAGACGCTTCAAAGCCAAATTTTGATTCAGGATTCAGATAATTCAACTAACCGATTCGAAGATGAGTCAACCATTGACTCCATCGAAGAACTGATGCAAACGTGCTGGTTGGAAGCAATCCCCAAAATATAGACTGCATCCGATATTACTGGATATTTTAAAGGATTCCAACCTATGAATAATTATCAGATTATCTTTAACCTTGTCCCACGGATGGTTACAACGCTTTCAACTGCCTTGCAGGGACAACATTTTGCCACGGAGTGTCCTATGAACGGTGTTCCAAAGAAAATGAAGGGAGAGCAAGAAATGATAGCAAAACGTCTTAAAGTCAAACAGAAACTTCAACTTCACAATTTCTGTAAGATTAAATGGCAGCTGTGATCGGCAACTACTCGTTCATGAAACGGTAGCGTGACAAAACGTCCCCATCCCTTTGAGTATGCAACAACGTGAAGTGATAAACGGAGTCTTTCGTTAACAAACCTGCAGATATTCAGTAGTACCAGAAGAAGAATGTACTCTGAGGCCATGCACAGCTCTTCAGCTATAAAATTTTGTAATAGTTTAATCACGAGACTTCAAAATCTCAACCAAACACCATAAAATGAGGAACAATGAGTAACTAAAATTGATTGGTCCTAGTTTACAGCCTCGACAGCTTACCATTCTTAGCATTTCACACAATTAGCATGGCAATGAGGCCATGAAAAGAGCGAGACAAACGCCCTACTGACAGAACTGGCACACTGCGCGCATCAAGGCAACTTCATTTGAGCAGCGGTGATGAAGTAAAACTAATTTTCTTGAAATGGTTAACTATACAAAAAACTGAACTGAAGGTAATATTATGACAACAATCATTTTGATAAAGTAAGAACATGATCGCAGTAACACGATCATACAAGACAAAATAAGGTCAATACTCCCAACAGCTCAGCATCGATAACAGAGGCATCGAAATACTGTAACTGGCCCAGAAACTTGGAGTTTTATAGCAAAAATTCTGGAAACTCATAATTTTTGGCGAGGCAGTTAGAGAATAAAGTGGCCCAACTAGTAGTTTGTAAGTCAACCTTGTTTAAGACGCTCCTTGATGGCAGCCACTAGCCTGTCCTCCTGGAGTACGCGAACTGATTTCTCCCCACCTCGCAAGGAAGAGAGTGATAACGAATATGTCGACGATGTCGTAGATGAACTGAGACACTCTGATGAAGAGAACGAGGTTGCTGCAGACACTGACGCTGTTGTGATTGGATCCACACGCGCAGTGGAAAAAGAGCCTCTCTCAAGAAGTTCGCAGGTGAAACATTCGCAACCAGCGTTGTTGGTGTCGAAGAAGTGCTTGCCGTAGTAGATGTATATCTCGTCCCCACTTTTAATATCTGTGGTTGCAGTGAGGCTCATCCGATCGTCGCCATCGCAGTTGATAGTAAACTGGAAGGATGGAAGGAATAGATGAATGGATCCAAGACGGATAGGTGGGAGAATGGATCCCCTCGAGACGGAAGGACGACAGCGTGGCCTCGATAGACGTCTGTGGTTCTGAACGTAACTGCGTCATAGACGGAAGTATGGAAACGATATGATAACAGACAGACGGGCACTATCAACGGGGAAGAAATGTTGTGCACAAGAACCTTCGATGCAATCACCGACGAACAATCACCGAACAACCACGTTATAGTTGTAGAACTCGGTAAATATTTCAAAAGTAATCGGACCATACTTCTGAGGATCTCGTGAGTGGCCATTTCGCAGCAATCACGGTTTATAAATCATAGCGCTCTATATTTGAAGAGCAAGCGTTGAAAAGGACTTCATAAATGTGAGCGGCTCGCCCAGAGGACAGTTTAGATATTGTAACTACCAGTACGATAGCATATATAATAGAAGATATTATATACTAATGTTAATTAAAGCATGTACGAGAATAAAAATAAACGTGCATGAATTTGCAAAGATCAAAATAGAATTAATGCATAAGTAACCGAAACACTTCCGATTTGCGTAAGCGGGGTACGTACCATAGCACATGCGAAGGAAAATATCAAAGTCAACAAGCACTTACGGCGCAATTCGGCCGGCAGTCATGGTTCACATAAGCAGCAGGGCCCAGCCATAACTGAGATTTATTTTTCCGGGAGGAGTACATCACAGAAAAGTCATTTTCCTTGTGCCGCAAGAAAGACACCTCGTCCTCATAGTTAAGCTCAGCAATGCATCCAATAAGCGAACCTATTTTCGAGCCTTTGGGCCAATTTTTCGTTGAAAAGATTGCTCCGCCTATATGACCTTCAGATGCATATCGGCTGCATGGGGCAATCTTGACACCAGAGCGGTCGTCAAACAGTAAAAGATACCGAAAAATCTATAACTCGAGTACAATAAGGCAACCTACGTGATCACGAAAGCGAGGATCATCTTTCCAGTGCTGCTTAATGCTGACATCTTCATTAATCAGTTGCTTAAAAGCTAACAAATAATCCTTATGCTTCTGAAAACCAATGATGATGTTCTTCAGACGATCCATTACCCGAGGTAAAATTCGGAGACGCATTCTACGTGATAAAACACATACGAAAGAGAACGTACGCTGTCATTTTGTGGGTTTTGAAACCTAAGAAGGGATCAACAGTTAGGCTGGTGGCGTAGTCGTCTGCTTCGACTAATTCACGCCAAGTCATGCGATGAGAACCACTTATGAGGGGAACCTCATGACCCACCTTCTTTGACACCATCGTTGCAATAAACGGATTAGCTTGAGACAGTTGGATCAGGTATCACACCCAGAAAGTTAATCGCATATTAACCACCAGCTACATTTATAATTGACGCGCTACTGTAAATACGACAAAATCGGGCCATATATGCGGGTGTCTCATTTGCGGAAAGCAATTTAGTGCGAAACTTGGAAAAACTCCGAAATTTCACTTTAGACATTATAGACTGATGAAATTGTGGATAATTACGCTTTGCTTTTAGCTGTTCGGTTGTTTTATTAATCGATCAGGGAAAAAGGAGAGAGATTAAAACATTAAATAGCTAAATAAAAGGTAGACTAAAGTTACAACATTTGATAAAGTATAGAGAATTATGTAATTACATATTGGTCTCGATCCAAGTTTTATATAAATCTGTCTCTGATGCGTACACCATGATCTCTGTGTCCGAAATGCCTTGTTGTACAAACAATTTTTCCTAAGAATATATCAAGCGGGCATTTGACTGATGGTAAACATGTCATTTTGGAGTACAACTGAAGCATATATAGCTAGTATTGCTCATTTAACGCTTATAAGACAATGGTTACTTCAAATAGCATTTTACTGTAGTCAGATCCCAACGCGCATTTCCTTTTGGGTCTAACCCTGCGCTGGTGTGCCGTTGCGAGCGCTGTTCTACCGTCCTTTGATCTTTGTTGTCGTTTGGGTGCGATCGCTGCCTGTGTTTACTTATATGCGTTCATTAATAACCATCTTAGTGAATATATGAGTTGTAATTTAATTAACTCACCAAGTGTGGCTTTTTCAATGTTAATCAGGTGCCTTACGTTGCTGACTAATGTGTAGGCATTTTGACATTTGTTTGTGACGTTGTACTCCAAACTATACATATTTGTACTGCTTCGTTTGCTTTTTGTTTAGGTAGTTATGGGTTCTGTTTTTGGGACCGCTGCATCCCACGATGTTACCTTCAGCCGATCTGATATTCTCGTAAGCCAGCTCCCGTCCTCCTACCTTGGTCACGGAAACACTTTTCCTCTTAGTTTCTTTAGAAACTAGGATTTTGGACTTTCGTTATCTTTTTAGAACTTCATATTTTTTGACCTTTCTGCACAGGTTTCAGACGATGTGATTGATAGTATTCGACGTCATCAACCGCATCGGAACTCCTCAACGACTTCCCCTGCCACTTCCACCCTCACTCCTTCCCCACTACAAATGGATACTAAAGGTTTGCCTCAGATTCTCAACTCTTCGAATTGCGGCTGTCTAGCTCCACATAGGTTTTGCTTTACCCCTTTAGAAGAGTCACCATCTGAATCTTCGGTTAACACCGCTGCAATTGCTTCCCAGTGTCTCACCCTTTCGCGTGATGAGCTTGAACGCAAGTACGAAGCTCTTCTTAGAAAGTTGGAGGAGCGGGTATGTTGGCTTCCTCGAACGAATTTAGGAATTTGGAATTCAGGATTTTACCCGTTATTTTTTTAGAATGATAAGTACCTTAAGGCCGCGGAGGAAGAGTATGCCAGAGTCGTTGATCGTCTTTATGCCAAATATTTGTACGTTACTCTAGCTGAGTTTAATTTTATTCTTCGTTTGCATATGAAATAACCCGATTTTCTAATGCAGGAGTCACACCCCCGTGCCATGCTGTGTTGATGCACAGAAGCAAGTGATGGACTGCTACAGGAGTAACGGACAGCGCTCGCTTAACTGTTCAAAAGAAGTGGAGTCCTTCGTTCGATGCGTTGCTGCTTTTCGTAGCGTAAGTTTTTTCCCCACTTGTGTATCGAAGACAGTAAAACTCATTTGTTTTGAGGAAGAAAAACTCGTATTTGCTTGAAGAACTGCATTACTAATTGTCTGCTATTTAGAGCCTTATCCCAAGCGTCTATAGCTTCACCTACTTAAATCTCAGGTTAAAATTGGACGCAGTTGAATGCCAAGTTATCGTGGGTTTCGAATACTTTCAGGTTTTATTCGTCGTAGAAACAAACACAGACTGTTTCGATTTGGCCGTACCTTAAGAAGAATCTTCACTTTTTATTATAAATGCTTTAACTTGATTTTAGGCACGAATGGGCCACCCTGACGCAGAGGTCTTGTGAAATAAAGGTAGTGTCGTTTTTGTGAACGACTGCCCATTTATATGCTATATTTTTAGGTATCTTTTAGTAAGCGAGCCGTATCATATTGGACAATAAATCCAGTTAAGATCTGAATACGTGGCGCATAGTTATCAATTTTGGACCTACCTTCTTGTTTATGTGGTTGAGCATGGGTAATGGGGAGGAACTCATGGTTTGAGGCGCAAGCCATGCTTAAGTAGCCATTCACTCTGAAACAACTTGAAGCGAAAGATATAGAAATGTAATCAACTGGAATTTGAGGGATCGAGAGCACGGGGCTTTGGAATGCTAATGCAGGGTGTTCTATCCCATTGAACAACCTTGTTATTGCAGTCCGAAATGGAGCGAATATGCAGTTGAAAGAGCTTTAGACTGGATTTTTTTTACTAAGAGGAGTTAGAGAACACGGAGAAATTGCGGTCAAACCTCATAAAGTTCATCCCCTTCTCCAGAAAAATATTTGTGATAAAAACGATAATGGTCAAGCTGAGGCTACGCACGCTATTCGTAGCAGGATGAAGAGTATTCGCATATCAGCGTTGTCGATGGAGAATGAATTGGTGGATGCTTATAGTCTTAGTTACTAATGACAGTAACTGACTGACGTATTATAGTGACGGTTTTTTACAGACTCCTTTTTTCTAGTTGGGAATCGCATTATACCAGAAAAATTGCTATATAAACTTTCTTATGTCCATTCAACCGTATGAACTGACCAGCAATCAAACCTGCGGCAAAATTCACACAGGCTTATTGCTTTGATTACAATTTTTATTATCGTTACTGGCTCCGCAAAAGGCGCAGATATCATAATGCATAAGGACTTCACTACTAATGTATGCATTGGTGTTCCATTGGGCACAGAGAATATGGGTCTTCTGATTTACATTGGCTGCATGACCCATTGTTGCTTGACTCAACTTGCTCAATTGATGCGGTCTCTTATGTACACGCATTACAAAGGGAATGCAAGCGCTGATTGATGGACACGAAAACCTTACGGAAGAATGCTCAAGTCTTTCAGCAGAGCTCAACTTCATTCGTTGCATATGCCAGGTCGCACCTTTTGAGGAGTGCGCAACAACGTAGATTCAGTATATTTAAAGGTGAAATAAAAACAATTATTTGACGGCATAATCAGAGACCAGCTTTGGTACTGAATGCCTATTGAAGTTGTCACTGCGCTCCTCTAGCTCTCAGGCGTTCATACACAACATTATAAAACCCTATCATCGCTTTGGGACTCATATCATCAGCTCTATGCTTATCCGGATGTTTTGAATACCGGGAGTCAGACTGCGAATCCGATACGAAATTCCGCATTTGTGCAGACTAGCTTGGATTCACTCTCCCCTCCCCTGCTGCAGCATCAAGTCAAAGCCCGCAGCCACGGCTGTGAATAGACTCCGGCACAAATCAAGCCAAAAATGGAACGTGACCGACTGTTGAATACAATACCTACACATGTGTTACATAGTCGATTTGGATAGGAAGAATGAGATGGTAGTGTTAGGAGAGGACAGTGGGTCAGTTTTGCAGAGTACACAAAGGTGGATCATCCGCAATGTGGGAGTTGTTACTAAGCCCTGGGGAGCCCGAAAGGAGATAGCATCATGGGAAATTACAGTCACGCTGAATGCAGCTGAAATGTTCACACCCAATGGGAGGTTGATGTGGGAGGGAAAGCGGTGAGGGCAGGCGATGAAGCACCTAAAGAGCAAAAAAAGTCTTATTTACTCTTCCGACTCCTATTCATGTACTACATATTGTTTCACTTCGTCCAATGTAGTAAAAAAATCTTTGACGTCACCTTGGCTGAGGTGACAATAATAACTAATCTCTAGTTGGTAAAAAAACTCAGCACGGCTTATAGCGTCCTGAGACTTCCCACTGGGTGGGAGAAGGCAGTAAGTGAGGCTGGATGCATGCATTCTAAAGAGGACGAAGCGACTAAACCTGAGCATGGCCTGAAGGTCAGCCCACACGTACAAGGGCCACATAAGCAAAGCATTACACGGCTCAAGCCATTTACAAATCTGAATTGCACACGGAAATTTTGCTGTGATATAACTAGTATTCTTCATAAAGGCCAACAAAACTGCAGATGGGTCTCGGGTTTTGCATTACAATCAGTAATGTGCAACAAATGTGTTTACACAAGTCGGAACTCATCCATTAACGAACTGCCTCAAAGTGTTGCAAAAAAATAAAAGTTCCTATTTTAATCTTAAAGGCTTGATTTCTTTACAGACAAACAAGACAATGAACAATTACCTAGCAGTGCACAGTAAATGGATTCTTAATCAATGTACTCCGCCGTCAGAACAATTTTGAATTTAAACTCATAATAACTAAAAATACAGCAAAGTTAATCCAATTTCTAGATGCTTATAGAGCGTCAGACCAGCCTGTGACCAGCCTGTGACGGAGTCCCAAAAATAGTACTCATGAGAGATGGGAAGATCAACTCAAAAATTAGTGTACTTTAACGTACGTGCGTGCATACAGAGAACTGCAGACAACCACTTATTTGCTACGTTCTGGACAGCATGTACCCTGAAGTCTCTTCACTCGCAGTGCTACACCTCGGTTATCCCTCTACTTAAAAAACCATTAGAAGTGGTCAATTGTTGAACCTTATTTAACCCTAACACTGACATAGGAAGGTGTGGGCCCCATTTTGAAAATAAGAGATAAACCGCATCGCCAGAAACTCTATGCCTCAGCGACTATTAGATTTCCCTGGCATTCACAACAGACATTTGTCCCCTGCTATACTCAGACCTGGCAGGCGAGAATTACGAGGAATAGACAGGACTAGCTAGGAAGAGATTCGGTTTTCTTGGTTTCTTCAGTGGTCTACCATCCTCCTGTCTTTTTCCACGCCTACTTCCGAATGCACATATAGGCCTGCAAAGATAGAAAAGCTGATCGTATCGTAGTGAAAACTTTTTGGTCCCAGTAATGCGTCGAAATAACCGCATTTACCGCATAAGCGAGGAAGATGACCAAAATCATAGAGATCCAAGTCCGAATGACACTAAACAACCACTCCCATCTCAAATCGAAATATAAGTCAAGTAAACCAGTTCATACAAAATGTTGTGGACTATCATATGTGGGTATTAAGAAGGGCTCGAGGAGTGAGATTACCAGAGACAGGTCAGCAGAATGTTGGTGCTTAGGTAGGCAGCACAAGACAACGGCAACATTGGTATTGGGAATAAAAATGCGTGTACGTAGTTGACGCACTGAGCCTAGATCCGGAGGCTTCCATCTGACCATCTAATCACTCTTTTTCCTTCTAAAAATGGCAAGTCACACAGGAAGAAGGTTCCCATGTACAGCACTATCGACAGTACCCAGGTTTCGTAGCATGGCTCATTGACAATTTTGGCGCTACTAATACCTCAATTACTACTCACTTAAGTGTTAAGATGTAAGAGTTGATAAAGCAAATGTCTGAAAAAACGAATATAGTGGCCGCCAGAGAAGTGAACAAAACCAAGGAAACTCGTTGCAAATGTGATACAGTAATTTTGACCCTCATTACGGCGAAAGAGGCTGATAAAACCAGTGTCCTATGAAAGTTAGGAAGCCAAGCAAGTATAAAAATTAGTTGGTTCAAGCACCATTTGTAAGTCCTACTTATTCTCAGCGAATTTCACTTTTACTGATTACGATGAGTCTAGGACGTAAGGACAAAATCCAGGAGCTCACCGTCTCCATTTAAGTTCATCTTTCGACTCCACTTCACATGCGACACCAAGAAGAAACCATAATCATCCGTTCACCTTCGAAGTTGATTGCCATAGGGGCTGAATGTTGTCAGCCTTTGCCTTAATGCCAACAAGCAATGCATACAGAACAACTTCGGCTACGGAGTTGCCAGCCGGACTTTAAATGATGCCTCAAGAGCACGAAAATAATTTGAGTATCGTCAAAGTAGAATAGTTATTTATGGAAAAATTAACACATTGCTTGAAAGTTCAGCGGTCTTGACATGTTGCTCTCTGATTAGCACTGCAAACCAGTATTTACCAACAGTTCCCCAGTTATGGGTTACGAATAAATGTGAAATTTCCTTGAAAATATTCCGTTTTCATGCAGTAATCCACCACTCAAGTGACCCAAACTACTAACAACATGTGAATCCGTGTAACAATTTCCGGTGTCTCCCCATCATATCAAATTCTACCCAAAGGACCATGTAACTATACGATCAAGTGCCCACCGGTCTCCAAAATGAGGTTTCTTCGGCCCTTGACACAAGCAAATATGGTGGAATGGATTATTTTTAGTAAAACTGTTGCATTGTGGAGGACAACATCAAGACATTCAGCAACTTCTGCTAACAGAATTAGTCAAATATGTGTCAAAGAAACTAAATATTCATAAATGGAAGTACTCTGCCAAAATCACAAGCCCTCGTTCATTGAAATAACATAGTTGACCCTTGTTCATGAACCTTCTGAGTGATATGGTCCTTGGACAATAACAATTACATGCATCCACTCTGTAAACAAAAAATACGTCATTTTCTCATGGTATATCACATTTTTCCTTGAAGCAAGCCTCAGAGCATAAAAACGGTCACCGCGGAAAGCAAATCCGACCTTATTTAACACCTTGAGTGGAGAAACTCATGTGATAGACGAATGGTGAATGTAAACTGAGTATGTTGTCTAGAACTGAAAGCCACCCATTTCTGGGTCCTGGTGGAATGCTTTTAACAATTAAAGCGACGTCAACCTGTACGCGATACCTTTTCCACCTCTCCGCCAAATGGGCCCAGGTAGGTAGGTATGGTCGAACAACAGTGAAGTGAGACAAACGGTAAGGAGGAAAAGAGGAAAGATATTAACTACAAGATCGTTTAATATCACAACTTTCGTTAAATGACTGTTTTTTAGTCTCACGACTAACGATAGACATAATTGACGGCCTACAGATCTTTTACGCAACTACAGTTTCCAATCATGACAAAACATCATATGCAGCAGGATTTTCAAGGTCTTTTGGCCAGGCGTCATTCCAATTGTACGCTACTTTGAATGTTTTACTGAACACTTTTTGATATCCGACATGGGAATGTGGAACACTGGATATCGTCACTGACGGCACCCGATGGGAAAAGTACATGCAACTGCGAATGGTTTAACACGCCATTTTCGTCTCGTACCCATTTAAGGCCACGCTTTTTTACTTTTAGTGCGCTAAATGGTCTCTGGAACATGCCACTGTTCCCCTCAATCGTTCTGCATATCAGCAATAAACATTTTGCCTTTGTGGTGATTCATTTATGCAAGTCTACAGCAGCTGCAGAAACATTTTTACAAAATGAAGTCAATATATTTGAGAAAAACGCTTTCTGTTGTATGCAATTAGATTGCAGAGTGATGCATGGCAGAAGGAAAATGCCAACGAAAGAACGACTTGATCAACTCCACAAAAACTGGGGGCAAAAAGTGATGAAACATTGCCGGACAAAATTCGATGATTTGGGGAGACTTCTTCCAGCTTGGAGATCTGAGTCTTGCGAGCTAAACTCATTCTTCCACGTAATTTCCCGAAAATAAGAAATAATGAGAAACTTCGTGTGACATCCAGGGAGCCTCGAAGCGCCAATACTAATAAATAATGTTGAGCAAAATTTATTCAAAGATTGCCAAACCCCCTGTTTGTATACAACTTTAACACCCATAAGAAGTTAAAAGCCCCAGCTTCATTAAATTCAGCCAAAATCACCCAAGTGTAGAAACACGTGGATGGCTGATTCCACAGTTTTGTTCTTAATGCAGAAGAGCTCATAGGATGCGAACCAACGATAGCTTGTCCATGAGATATTAATTTCAATGTAGAGAAACAAACTCCACAAACCGATTCCGAGTTCTGAGGGAACATAAATTCACTAAGATTGTTCCACTTTGGTCATCTACTTCCACCAATACTCCCCAAATTGGAACTAAGTTAAGGAGGTAAAAGAGTAATTCTTTGTTTTATCAAATTAAGGAAAGTCTTAATCAAATGTCAAGACTGAGAATTGTCCAAATTACTACGCAGTTTTGGATGCCCTCAATCTCGGCACACTTAAACGATGCTGCTCTGAATGAACACCGAGTATCGAAATGAGTCTCACTGATCCCAAGTTGCTCTAGAGGCAAAAATAAACTGTCATACACTACGGTAAGTGCCCTTAACAGTTGAGTCTTTTTCATTACATCATCCAAACATGTAGGATCAAGTATTTAAGGCTCCAATCACAAAATTACGGGGTTTAATGGACTCTAAGAATGAAACCACAAAAGACAGCAATGACAACAAAAAGAGCCACTCACAACTATCATTTGAACGTGAGATAAAACCTGGTGACCGAAATGCCAGAATCGCTAGTTGCTTATCACCAGCTTCCCCATCAATATTGCCTCCACCACCACAATCTCTTCCATTAGCGCTCTCCACCGTTCGAACCGAGGCGCTGCTGGCAAGTATCGACTCACTACTGATGCTTCCACCTATGCCTCCAGCACCGCTACCCACCTCGTCCAACAAGTCAGGCGTGGAACTGGCGCATTTCGTCGAGGTAGAAGTGACGGAGGTGAAGCTAGTCATCACTACTGGCGCTGGGTGTGCTGCTGATGATGGCGAAAGGGACCGATTGATGGGCTGAAGGGAGGCGCGACGCGGAGGTAGAGCTGGAGGGGACGCGTTCGTGCCTCTGTGGTGGCTGGGGGGCTTGAAACTCCCCGAGTAGGAGGAGGAGAAGTCTGAGAAGGGAGCGGAGGGGACAGCGTTTTGAAAGTTGCGCCGTGGGACGGGTGGGGGTGCAGTGGTGCGGTGGCATTGCTAAAAAGGATAAATTCAAGGCTGGTGAGATCTTTCACCATCTTCCACCTCTCAGATATGCTTCCTCGGAGCAAGTTATTCTAAAGGTGACTGAAGATTAAAGTGTTAAACGTCAACCAATGCATGTATGAAAGAACTTCATTTCACCATATTCTAACCATGAGGTATGTTATTAGATTAGCTGTATCACATGAACGAAATCGCAAACGTATTATTTAACAGATACCTTAGTGAACGAAAGTGTGAGAAAGCACACTGACCTATTCGTAAACAAACCTGTTTCCCAATAGATGAAGCACAAAAATAAAAAAAACCTTAAGACTGATTACTAGGTTAAACCTCAAAACACCACCACTGGAAGTGGAAAGAAATGAGCTGAATTAGCATTTCAGTTAGTTTACGACTGCTTCGACAATACTAATAAACAATCTGGAATGTTAAAATTGTAAAATTATCGAGTGGATTAAAAAAAATAGACAAGAAAGGTGAATCTGCAACGCGGCCCCCTTAGTCGGCCGTACTGATAGCTTGATGTCCCAAGAATGTTACACCTCCACAGCTCAATGATCCAACAAAGTTCGAGGAACTTTCAACATGCCTCACTGAAAAGAATCGATGTAACTACCACAAACGCTTGCATTAGATGTAATTGCTATCACATGCATTTAAAGAGGACGTGGCTTAGTGTACCAGTATCCATCCCACATCTGCACTACTTACTACCATTTTCAAACAATGGGGTGGTGATTAAATGAGTACATAATTGTGTACTACGGATGAGTCTACTGACGAACCGACTTTAAACGCTAAGGGTATATCTTTGTTTTATGAATGATGGAACTTGAGGTGTACTTCGTGTAGCGAGATCGGCCTGTATACCTGGGCTGGGCCACTTCCATGGTAGTCATTTTACTGGCTACTTGTCCTGCCATAGCAGTAGATTCACTCTTGAATATTTTGCTCGTTAGGGTGATTTCCGGAAAATGACTATCTCATAATGGTAGGCAGACGTACTCCAGATTTCACCTTTACAGAGCGATTTGTATCTGGACATAAAATTAACCGGACTCAACTGCGGCCACCTTAGTCAACTTCTCGGATTTGGTTTTTCAGCACTATGAAAAGGTGAAATTCACAAAAATGGAAGAATAGTATTACACCAACAAGGGGAACTGAAATGAGACGAATAATCTCTCGACGACTTGCCCAACCAACCCTGCTTTCCAAATCATTTGCCTCGAGCTTTGATGGAGAGACTGAACAACCACACATCCATATTAGAGCGCAGCGAATACGCACATCATTGATGTAATTGGTGTTTGTTGTCAAAAAACAACTTGCAATGATCATTGAACTCATGATGTCCAAACTTGCTGAAATACAGCATTTCATCAAAACCGAACCAGATTGGTATATTCAGTCTGATTTAATATCAAAAAAGGCCTTGATGACCTTTCCCAAACATGCGCCTTAATTTGATCCAACAAGGATCTGGTTACGCCCCCATCATTAAAGTGAACCAACACTATTATTGTGGATGTCATCCGTCAAGATGGCTTTCTGATGCAAAAAATTCAATTTTAGAGAAGTTCCATCAGCGCAGCCTTAATCCATTCCAATACCTTAGCCTCCCTCTCCAGCGGCTACAACGACAAACGAAAACTCTTTAAACGGATGAAGTACAGTATCCCTACTGTGGCAAAAATGCACTACACCACTAAGGTAAACCTAAAACAGCTAAGCACAGTAAGGGCTACACTATGCACTAACAAAGATCAGCATCACGATGGCATTCGCAATGACATTGCTTGAATTTGCTTCCAATCGCAATTACCCGACAACCTAGGTTTTCACGTTAGATTACCGAATATTCGTGATCTTGAGTAAAGCCAACAATCCCTAACTAGAAGCATTATGGGACAAAAAAATACCTCCCTCAACACAGCAGAAATTCCACAACCACAAAAGTGACTGCGCAAGTCGTGATTATAATGACACCTGTCACTGCAAGAGCAGTACCTCCGGTACATTTCGGCTTATGCAAAGAGTTTGTAAGCCTCCACTGAGTTTCAAACGATGCTTTGTGCCAAAAGAGGTAAGATGTTCCGATGAAAGGGAATCAAACATTACATTGTCAAAAGCATTGTGTGAATTTCGTAGACTAATTCAAATTTGCAATTTGTGTACTGACCAATGCTGAGCCAAAACCCAAAATGAGCAAAGCTACACCATTCAAACGAAAATGATTGCAAAAATAACGTTGCTTAACCTTATCGTTGGCCAAGAGAGTAAAATTCTTCGGCGGAATCGGTGGCCGGGGCGAGACAGTGGTGGGAGTGATTGGAGTCTCTCTGACTGGTCCCTCGACTGGGATGCTCTGTGAGACGTTGAGACACTCCACGGGCGACGGAAGACGTTCACTAAATGACGTTGCCATTGCGGTTTTGGGAGTGAACGTTCGAGCGTTCTGCTGCGGGCGGATGGGGCGATAGGCGGTGACTGGAGCAGTGACGCGTTGTCGACTCTCGGCAGAGCCGCTATTGTGGAAATGAGGGGATTTGGAGGTGAATCGATGTCCCAACATTCGCTGAAAGTTTGGAGACATTCAGAAGAAATTTTAACGAAGCTAAGGTCTTCCCGTGGTGTGTTGAGGGAGGAGATATGGCGATGGAAGAGCGGATTAGACGCTGCAATGGCGTTAGGTGCGACGATACTTGGAAGAGGCGATATGCTCCAGTGAGGTTAGACCAGATGCTAAGCATTCTTATCATGGGTGAGAAGGATCAGCCAATGGACCTTAGCCTGGAACACGAACCACCAAACCCCTCAACGTTTAAAAGGTCTATCCCTGTCGGCTCACTAGTTTTCATAAGTGAGAAGAGAATTTGTAATAATTCAGTGGCACTCTTTATCGACTTTGTGGGTGAACAAGCACACGGGCAGATTCCGAACGTTACAAAGGGTTTGAACAAGCTGATGGAGAGCGGACATTCATTTGCATGAAAACACCTGCATGCACAACCCTTTATGATCCATACACCAACGCATTCATGAAATGACGCGTGCCTTAACAACTCAAAGGCGACAGGAAAAACGCAAGGGAGATATCTAGCGCCCCTGTAAAATCCAGGTATGGACAAATCAAAGATACGTGTGAAGAGTAAGACAGGTAGCTGCCATTGGAAATTTGCAAGTCAAGGTAGCAGCGGATGATTCATAAGCCTCTAGCATCGCGCGTTTGAGATAAGGGCTCATTTCTTAAAATGGCAAAACAGGAATCGCAAGCACACCATTTCGATATGTTCGTGTGTGGATTGGCAAACAAGATGGAACTGAAAGTGCCTGCCATCAGAACTGGAAATCATATGGCCATATGAGGCTGGTAAAATGACACCTGAAAACTACTACAAACAATGGCGATTACCTTCAATCAACATGTTCACTTATCGCCGGATTCCTTGGTTTAAGAGCCCAGAAAGCGTAAAAAAACTACTGAGAAAGGTTATGAGGACGAAAAGCAATGACTCGCTAATTTACCCTACAGAACGCTTTAATCCACCACTGGATAAATTAGACTTCCAGAAAAGACCACAAGGAACTATGGTTAGGTTTCGAAGATGTATCTTTCAGAGAAAAGGAAAGCGCCATCTCACATCCCTCCTCTAGCCCATTAGCCAGAGAGGAGCCACCCAACTGAATTCAAAGCTGAGTATAGGAATTACCAAGCCAAAACAGAAAAAAAATTGTGCAGGAATAGAGAAGATGAAGGCACAAGAGGAAATAAGGTCACAAGATATAAACACATTAAGCTGTCAAAAGGTTGCCTTCGCAAATGACAACAGGAGTGGAATGGCTACGCAGAGTTCAAAGGAAATTTAACCACACATAAGGGGGTAATTAAAGTTGTCTGAAATGTAGAAGCAAGACAGATTTAGGCGACCAATCAATTATAGGAAGTTCAGCGACCTTCTGGATCCAAATCCTCAAAATGATAAAAATGCCTTGGGACGAGGAAGGTAATAGAGAATTCTTCAAATAACTATTCGGGGAAGGGTCGCAACATCATGCTGCTAAAAGTTTTCAGCCGTCAAAATGCTTTACGGAATTGGAGAATGAAGAGTACAAGCAAAGCTGTAAGAAATCGTCGAATAAGCCATTCAGTGACAAGATGGTAGAGAGGAAGGAGAATGCAATTGGGCAAATACTACTGACGATCTAGGCTTCTACAAGCAATTGGATCGACGAGACAATTCACGTGGCCAAACATTAGGTTGACGCAGGATGAGATGAATGCCAAAATAGGAGAAAAAAGCGAGGGCGGAAAGAGGACTCACAGACTCTCACGCGCCGAATTGACTCCATTGGTGCTACGAGAGTGCGGAATGGAGGGAGTCGATGAGAAACCGTTAGCTGCTTCTTTTTGCGCTGGTCGCGAGCTCGATTTCTCTGATTTGGAGCGAGATGCTTTCTAAATAGATGATCAGAAAAGACAAAATTCCAAGTATTGTGTCACCAAGGTGTATTAAAATAAGCATTGCTCTGGTACTATAGAAAAGAGATGAGTGGCAGTACATTCCAGCCAAAAGTGTCATTCGAATTCGCCTGCTCAGTAAGCTGATCACCTTGCAAGTTGATTGCTTGTCATCCTAACATTTGAAAGCACAATGAAAGGCGGAACGGAACCACGCCGAAATACATGTGTTTAATTGTACGATCTTATCAGCCTCTACGATCTTGACTATCGATTAGATTCAATGGCGTCGCACATCTGTTTACAACCTCCTCCTCCTCCTCCCCCATGTACTAGGACCAAAAACTCGTCCATTCCAATATGTCACTACGTTGCCGCATTGCTCTTGGGGGAAGTGAAGGCTACGGCTATATCGGGGTAAGCGAGACTGATTCAGTGAACAGCAAGTCTTCGTTTCGTGGACTAATCACCTAACCTTGTAATCCTGGAAGCCAGTGTTTGTGAATGGTTGGAACTGTCCAACAATCGGTGAACTCTCAAACTTTTACCCAAAACCATCAGGTCCTACCACCATTTGTAATTCAGACTATTGGTCGAAAACCCTCCATAAAGTGTTACCACCGTAATTGCTAGAGGGTGGCATGAGATACCACTGAGTCTTAAGCTAAGTGCGACGACAAATGTGTCGATAACGCAAATCCATCACTTGATGCTCCTTCTACTCAAAGTGCGAAAGCTTTTAAGCACTACTGCTTTTTACAGTCATTTTTGGTAAAAGCAATAGTAATTCCTCATGCAACGATGAGGAAGAAGCATTATGTCTTCAAACCTTGATTGTTCTGGTGGAAAGCGGCGATTTGGAAGAAAACGGGTTATTTGTACATAGACTGCTTGCAATGAAAACTATGACGCACTATCTTAGATGTTCTCAGCGCAGGTCTCTCACGTGATTAGGACTAGGATAACATAAACGAAACAAAAGAAACCTGATTTTTTTTGTCATTTTATTGCTTATGCGGTGAATCATAAAGTACCTGATTCAAAAATTATCCAAATAATTCTTCCATTTTTACAAAATACATTGGGGAGATAAAGAAGAGAAGGATAATGAAGAGGATTGGAGACAATATTGACGATGAATCCTTCAAAAAATGAATAAAATTTATTCTACGTGGTAGCGAGTGAAAATGTTTTCAAAATGCACTAAATTCTTGCAACGCAGGTCTGAAAAATGTCTTAACCATTTCCAGTTTTGCCTCACCTTCAAGTCCAAACAAAGTATTCCAGTCTAAAAGTGCATTTTTACTGTTAATGCTTGGGTAAACACAATGAAGAGGACGTAACTTAATCTCTAAAAATGTTTCAGAAAGGTGAATGTTAACCGTGGTTTACTACTCGTAGTGCGCAAGCTCATAGAAGACTGATTAGCATAGCGTGCGTGACACTTTCTGAGCGGCTTCTTCAATAAGAGAATTGAGGCGATAATGCAGACAATTCACCAAAGACAACAATCATTACCATCAAATTGACTAACTAGAAGCTAAGCAACAAAAAAATTGTTCAACCTATGTAAGTAAGTGACTGCACATATCAGAAGGATGCAGACAATAAAGGTTCCACTTTTGAATGCCTTTGTCATAAGAAAATAACCATGACCATGTGAAGAGAAACATGTTGTTTTGATGGTTACGAATGCAGCAAAAGTAGTTTGGACGATGATAAGGATTGTTAATACAATGATACTTCATTTCTGTTTGACTCACAGAACCGGTCACCTAAATCACAATGACTCACAAAGAACAGAATAGCATTTTTGGTGACCCCTGCTACCTTGGCAAGCGTTTGGGTCAGTCGGTCAAATAGCAGCTAGAAGAGTCAATTAGCCTCGTTACGATGGGAAAAACAACTCCGAACGAAGTAACAATGGCAACTTTTAACGCAAATATTACGCAGATTAGTAGGGATGTAAACGGGCTTACAAACTTGCTGACAAAAACAATCAATCAGACACAGGAAATTGAGGAGGTAACAGGTGACCAGTCATAAGACAATTGCTAAAACGAATGAAGTAAAGTGAAGTGATGTAAATAAAGTAATCCTTTAAGAAACCTCAGGATGCATAGCCCCATACCAACGAGAGATCACGTGGAAATTAGTATTTGACAAGTACTGGAAACCGCAAGAGACGTAGAAACGATTTACAATGTAAGCGAACCGCATTCGAAAGCTGAAAATACATCGCAAATCAAGTTTAGCTATTTGATCCTGCCAAAAAAGTGTGCACACGAAAAAAAACTTGCAAATGAGCAATTGCAGTGACTACCACTTACAGAGGCAGCCAGCGAGAGAGTCCAAAGTTTAATCATCTAGGGTGAAGCAAAGTAGGAACCATGCGTAGCTCCTGTCATATTTCGCGGCAAACATAAACAAGAGGCTTTGATGGTTTATTTCGGTTTCAAAAAGGTAGGCTATTGACACTTTGTTAAATGTGAAGGAATACATAATTCCAATGACATTTGTTACCATAGTTAGAGAGTGACGGTTGATGCAAACAGATATTTATTGCATTAAAAGTACCGACTGTTAAAGAAGGGGTCAAACAACAAGACTCGTCAGTCTTGATGGAACACTGTCGATAAGCCTGGAAAGGACAATAAGAGAAGCAATCTCGATACAGAAAGTTATACCATCACTGATCAACCATCCTGTACTTCAAATGGCTAATCACCTTCCGTAATGGAACTGTACATGGTGCCTTGGAACTTCTGTTGAATAGTTAGTGCATTTTTGGACGCAGAGATGAGCGAAACTGACCGCAATGGATAGTTTTCCAGTCTATTTGATGTCCATGTCACACAAGGACAGCATCGGTCTTGCACAGATGGTGTATGTAAAAAAGTGAATGTAAATTCGGCTTCAACAACTTTGCTCATAAAGAGGATGATTCTTCAGGTACAAAGAAAGGACGCGATACATCAATGACGTTAGGAAGAAGCTCTCATAGTCTCTTGACAGCGTAATCACTATCACTTCTGGCTCATAATGACTAAAAAGCAATTGCTGAGAGGAGTGCCAGAGATTGTGGTAAATAAGACTAAAAACACTATTTTTAGATTTAGTAAATTTTGTATCCTGCCTGAAAGCTCCACCATTCTTTCATGCTGCAATAGCATATCGATGTTCGCATGGCTAATTACGACTTCACAAAAGGCTTGCATCTAGGTTTACAGTTAAAGTTTATTAAATATTTGACGACAAAATTGAGGCAATGGGTTTTTTACTAGAGGTCTACAAATATGCAAATGGCACAAAATTCCTATCAGAAAGGTCAACTAAAATATGACTTAGCGATGAGTGGGTATCGACATCAAGAATGACAGAAGTCCTGGTAAAGGTTTACGATTAGGCCATGTAGACGTGAACCAAGCTGAAAACTGAAACGAAAAAAATTTGCACAAATTAATACATCGCTCCTCACCGAAGCGCCCTTAGAAGTCAACTTGAAAAATTGATGGCCAAATTTGCGTCGAATGCGCAAATTGTTAATTGTCCCATTGGTGGTGATTGGGCGCTTGCACTCAATCCATCGAGAATCCCCAAAGTTAGGTTTATTGGAGCCACTCTGTTGAAGACGTTCCTTACACTTGTCGGAGAGGAGGCGAGCCTGAACGTCAAATTCGTCAACTGTGTGCTTAGCCAGCCTATCATCCAGGAACTATAAAAGAAGAACGTCATAATGTGCAAGATTTGTCAACAAAAAACGCTTAGCTAGAACAGAAATCGAGCTTATGACAGGTAGGAAATGATGCTGGTTTGTGTGATTGAAATACGGGCTTTCCACAATCCGAACGCTTGTTCGTCGAAATTGATGACGGGATAGGGATGGAGAAGTCATAAATAGGAACCTTGGTAATTTACAATGAGTACAGCAATACAGTAGTCTGCCTCTGAGGAGCTGAATGCAGAAACTAGCACCATTGTTGACAAGCGAAGACACAACACACACTGTTTTATGCACACTTTGTTAGGGTGCACGCACACTTGTCACATGCACCGCAACCGTAAAATCGTAATCAGAAAACCCTCGTCTATTCCTTAAATGGAGTACTGAAAGTCGAGTTCAGTCAATCATTGTGCCAAAAGACAGACACAAGAGATAGTATTTTATCAAATTACAAAAATGAGACGATGAGTCGAAAGAGAAGACACCCTTTAAGTCATGTGGAGTTCCAGTCCATTCGGAGGGAATCTTTATTGCACTGCGACGTCGAAGTAACTTGATGCTAATCTACAAACCGTATGACCGTATTCATCATGATCAAAATAAAAACCACTAAACCTTAGAAAGATGTGCACTCATTCAGTGGCCTGTCACAACTTCCTTTCAGCCAGTGTAGGGTACTGCCCCTTTAAATGACGAAAATGACTTTCGAAAACAGCTCATATTGTTTTGCATCCAAAAAAAATAGTAGGAAAGAACAAAAGTTACAATGGTATTAGAATATTACCCGTAGTCCTATACGCAAACGCTTAGGAAAAAGTGCACAAGTGCACATATAAAGCAAAACAGCTCCAATATGCTGGGAAGAGTATAAGAAGAAGTCTCAAACGAACATAGCAATGTATATAAAATTTTGTTTACTAGTGCTTTAGAGTTGATTCAAATCCGATTTACTCGTGAACTTTTAATTGAGGCGGAGGTAAAGTCAACTGAACAAGGGCTACAATAATGTGCCCTTCAACAACGTAAGCAGCTACAGATATGCTGTTCGAGAACTTTAGATTCTCCGAGGATTAAGTCTTAGACAAGTTGCGGCTTATCCTCAAGCACTGAAGATCACGCAGGGTAAGATTTGTGCCCATCTTTCACATAGATGTTAGCATAGGAGCTAACAATCAGTTCGAAATTTTCTTCCCATCGAGGGACGGAATGTGAAATGAAGATGGATTAACCAAAAGCAAGTCCACCAAGCGAGGATCAGCGGCCCGATTTAACAGCACGAGGGCATTTCAATAACGCCACGTCGATGTATGATTTCAACCGACCTTTTGTACCAAATGAATTCATTATTACACTTCACTAAAGAGTCAAATTTGACTTCTAAATACATCACTTTTCCAAATACTTACAATAAAGTAACCCGATAAGGATTCATTATTTAATTGAAGCAACAAAAGAGGGCCCTTCGAGTAAGAAAGCGAAGCAAATGACCGTAAAAGTATCTCAGAATGGCTTTCGAAAACTCCAACGACCTTGATTTATTAACTATATAACGCACCCCATCTGTTTCGAACCGAAGAAAGGCCCAACAAATACTCAAGCAACGTAGTCGTTCTTCGGACTTTGCCTGGAAAAAAATAATCCAGCAAGTGGAACCAAGAAATGCACTATTAAAAGAGCAACCCCGTTTCATGCAAGAAATGTGTTTACCGCAGGTTAAATAGAGCAAGTAGAATAAGAGGCCCTTCCTAAGGCATCCAGTAAAGAAAAGGAGAATGAGATGAAAATAGTTATCGCGAAAATCATTAAAAATAGGCAAATCAATCTTTCTTGAATAGCGTTTCACTTTTATAAGAAAACAAGAATTGTTCAGATGTGTGGCTTCATGAAAGAGTCAGCCTGGAAACCAATGAATGCTCGGCTAAGTGTGTTCCACATAGTGCACCCTAGGTATGCAAATTGTTGCTCTATTGCATAAAAAGACCATTTTCGGACTTCCGAGTCTTGGACCGACTTCAAATACATCTTTGAGTAAGGAAAGATTCTAGATCTGGAAGGAACAAGTTCAAAAACAAACAATATCCTTCCTTGGACTAATTGAACATCTTGTCAACAGATCACAGAAGAGTATCGAATAGGAAAATCTTAATTTGCAAAAAGACCTCCAAAAGCAAGCTCCCTTGTAGCAGTATTGTCAGACCTCAAATTGCGGTTCGAGAGATCAAGACTAACCTTTAACAAACCGGGATCGCTTTTAACGAAGTGACGACACTGGAGTCGAGAAAAATCGCGAACAATATTGCTATCACTTTTAAGCAACTTCCGAATATTGAGGGGAACTCCACAACCATCACCCAACCTTCGTTACTATCCTTGACATGAAAACCTCCTATTAAGGTTAATAAATAATGTAAAATTTCAAAATTCATCCAATTTTACAGTGCAGATAGTCGCAAATAGATCAAAGGGGGCTCCCGATGTAGTGCAAATCTACCAAGCTATTTGTTTCAGCTGAGGGGCACTGACGGTGACAAGGCCATTTCTAAGCTAGTAGAAGACGAAACAGAAAATCAGTCGTGTAAAGGTTCACAAAATTCAATCTGACATTCGAAGCAGGACGTTAAATACACCAGGTCAGTCACATCTAATACGACAATGTTGGAAGGGTGGACACGGAAACAGCTGCAAGGTATACTTGCAACCAGATGCAGTGAATGGGAAACACATGAATGACCTACACAATGGACCATCTGAGACTCGTACAGTCGCTGAAGGAAAGTTTTTAATTGTGGGCAATCCTGACACGCGATCATCTGTTGGAAATCCACGTGACCAGCTGAATCTCTGCAATCGCGGAAGTACCCTACAAGGAAAAAACTAATGCTCTTAAGAAGATCATTGTCATAGCAACTTACGCCTGGGAACTCATCGTCTAAAGTATGAGAGACGGTCTATTCAAAGTTAAGTTTTAAATTCTGATGTCAGTATATCTGAATCACCCTAGAATGGCTGTTCTCGTAAAAAAAAACTATTACAAATAAGATCTCGCGATTATTAGCGTGCCGATCAAGATGGGTGGGTATCAGGGCTGGGAGTTACGAACAACCACGGCTGGGAGTATTAATAACTTCCATACTTGCCACGGTCTAATAAAGCATGCATAGTATTTCATATAACCAAAATTTACCTAATTGTCTGGCTTTATCCAACAACTTATGAAAAAGCCAACCAGCAGTGAAAGCACCAAGAAGATTCCTGTTTTCACTGGATGTCATTGCAAAGCCTTCAGAAATGCCATAAAATTAACAAGCAACTTTTTATAATTTCACGCTGTTGATCCAGAAATGCACAAAAAGAAGACAAAAGTGGGACGCGTAACGCAAGGTAAAACTTGTTTACCGATAGAACAAATCACACGTAATCCATCTCTGTACACCTTCACAGATGTCACTTTTAAAGTTACTTGATTACCGTTTAAAAAAGAAAAGACTTGCAGACGAATTATTGCTAGCATTTGCGGACCCGTTAGTTTGTCTGACTTGTTTGTTCAACAAGAGAGCCTTTCGTGATTCGACTTGTGCTGGTGCCACCCAAAACACCAGTTTGTCAATGTACCTGTACATTTGAGGTAAGGCTACTTGTAAGGAAGTACGTTTCAACTCTATCCAAAATTTCTTCTGTGGTTCGTTATTGAAAACAGCGAACAGGCAGGCTACAATTCGACGATACCATAAGAAAGTCCCTAACGTCCTAATGTAAATGGTGGAATTGAAGAAGAATCAAAACAAAAAATTAAGTCCTGCTGCGTCGAACTTTGGCAAACGCTGGAACTTCTTGTTTCTCTTCCTTTCAGAAAACCAAGGATAGCCGTGACGGATGATTAAGCTTGAGCAGTGAATGCATAAATGCAATATGATCGGTTACAGATATTTGTCGTCCAGCACAAATAAAGTAAATAAAAACATTGCAATAAGAAATGTTTAGAGAGACTTATAATGATCGTTGGTCCTCCTTCGAAAATGGTTTCAGACTATTCGGATACCACTCGAGCGATTAAAGGAACGATCATAAAGAAGGTGATTATGTGGACGGAAGTAGAGGAGAGGACTATTGCAATCCCATCCTTAATTATATAAATCTTCTCGTCATTAGCAACCCAACTATCGCAAAGGTGACAAAAAAATTACCACGAGTCCTCCATCTTCTCTGTAAGTAGATTTCATCGCCTCAGAAAGCAGAGCTGCGTAAAGCATCGTAAGTACCAAACTGTCGTAGCAACAAATGGCATCAAATTAGGTGAACTGCGAAATTTATAGGTCCGATTTGTAGTTGTTCCAGGTCAGGTCAACGTTTTAGATTCGCAAATAGTTTTACACTTTTGTCCTGTAGACTGTACTGCCCCAGGCATTGAGAACAGAAGCCTCTAGCCTTAGCAGCTCAAGCACCAGGGCATCAACCCTAATACTACTAGACTGTTTCAAAGTTATAGAAATTGCTCAATAAATATGAAGTAGTTGGTGTCCCAAAGTTGGATAAGCCAATTCCGACTTGTGCATAATATCTGCAGCAAACATGACAACAGTTAGACCCGAGTGCTGATGCTAAGTGAAGGAATATCCAAAGAACCTCCGACTATTCAACTGAATTCGAGAGATTCAATACAGCGTTCTACATTTGCCCCATTTAGCCCCAGGTTTAATTGCTTCAGTAGCTGTTAATCGGTCATTAAAACTAAAATGACATAAAATACCAAACTGAAGATGGTTCCCTCTAAGTAGTTCGACGTGACCTCATAACGATGGGAGTCTATAGCCATACTAAAAAATGCCAATAAATGAATCTAGTAAGTAATCGTAAGTAGCTCTCCCAAATAAGAATCGAAAGACAAATGTTAACCCCCTGAGAAAAGACCAACCTCCTAGCAGTAAGAATAATTTCATCAATCGAGTGATATTTAAACTGTAATGCCATTTTCACGCATTTCATTTTTGGCCGAAACCGACCTCTTCTGGTTTACTTGATCAGCGTACAACAAGCTCGTTGGAGCCGGAGTTTCGTTTAAACTGTTCACATTCCCTTCGATTTCTTCTGCCAGCAAGGCTACGTGTTCCTTGGGTGCGATTTCTACTTTGAATAAATGAGCGTAAAAGCTAGGACTGGAGAAATAACATATCGCAAGCACACATGCTAATTAGTGATTGAAAACGGAGCTTAGCACACCAACCTACAATGAACGACCATCGACCTTCTATCACTTCTATCACTTCCTGATAGCGACCCACCAGCAACTTGTGATTTACTTAGGAGTGCAAAGAAGACAGCCTCCATTCACATACACCAGATACAGCAGAGGTTGTTATTCACAAAATTGAAAAAAAATTCGAGATGTGGTAGGGAGCACAAATGATACACGGACTCACCAACGAGTTGTGATAAAGACTCGGCAGAAGATGACAAGTTCCCAAAATTTTCCTGGGATCGTTGCAGTAAACAATAGCTGAACTTGTACGACATCGTTGGCGAAGTACGCTATCAATGGTTTCGGTTTCTGACACTACCAGCAATTCGTAGTAATGTCTTTCCTTCATCAGCAGACGAAAGCCTTTCCTTCCTTTTCAACCAGTATTATTGTTATTTGTGCTTGAAATCCATGTTAGCAAAAATTAGTTACTAATTGCCAATCCCATATATCCAGTCGCTAATATGTATGTGACCGTGTGCAAAGGCAGTCAGATGCTTTGTGAATCAACTGAGGTTGAGCACTTCTCAACCAAAACACTACGGAAACAAAGGAGCGAAGCAAAGAAACAAGTAACCCATGTTTCCAAAACCATAAGTTTTTTTAAAGTCTACAAGTGTGCTTGCTCGTTGTTTCAAGGGTAGGCTTCTTCAGCATTCATAGGGTGAAGATATGACCGTTCAACCATGTCCATGGTCTTTCAGAACCTCTGAGCACTAATAATAAATATTTAGCAACATAGGGCACGCGGTGTTAGAACCTCAGAGGAGACTTGCAATTGCCAGCAGCAGCGTGACTAATCTAAATGGAGGCTGCTCTTAATTTTACTGGTTTATGGAGAGAGGATAATCGTTTCGGTTGATTGTGCCTGCAGAGAAGCACTACACATGCACACGTGATGGATTGGAGTAAGATATTTGCGATGAAGGGTAAATGAACTCCGAGAAATCGCCAATGAATTCAAAGCCATTTACATTGTATCTCCTGTGGCAAAATAGCATAACACACCGTTGCGAAGATTGCAGCAATAGAAGAACAACCAATGCAGAGCATTGGCCGGCTGGACACATGCTATCAAGCTTGCTACGCAAAAAAAAGAGAACGGAACATGAGATATCAAAAAACAAAATTGAGTTATTGGATAGGGTGCAGATTGTTATCTTTCCCCTATCAAAGTCGGTAATGACGCTGAATTGCACATGAATCCATCCGAACAATAAATTTGAAGCAGATAATTTTACGATCAGCCATACTTCGAACTATGCAATAATGGAACGATGCCCACTCTTCCCTTCCTCTCATCGCATCCTACATCACTGACTTCTTACCTCCCTCATCCATTATCCAAATCTAAAGGAACTTTAAACAGTTAACTCCACATTGTGATGACAGAGTTCACTGGAGGGTTAAAAAAATTTTACGGATTCAGCAAAACTGGAAATGATACCATCGAGAACGATATCAATGCATCGACCATCTACTTTTTTCAATTACCTGAAAAATGCTACGCCTCCAGCCAGACCTCATGAATAGAGGTTAGCAAACAGTGAATAAAAATACGGCTTCTCTGAAAGTCAATGCGACATAGCTGAAAAATCCCACCTAGCTTATTTGTCTAACAGACGGCAGTTCGCAAGATTGGAAAACATCGAGTTTTGAGACGGGATGTTTGCAAAGTCAAATCTAGTTCATAACTGACCTACCACAACTACCTTCAGTCCATTCATTACATACAAAATTGCTTCAGCTGAAGTCGGCGACATGACTCAGCTGCTGGCTAAATACAATGCTAGCATTTTGCAAAAATCATCCTTCAATAGTCAAATCCCTATCCATTAAAGCTACGTCACTACTGTAATTGATTGCATATCTGGGAAAAAAGTATTTACTGTTAATTTTATGCATTTCGCAAGCTACTTTAAGTGGCGGTGTGAATTGTTACAGGTAGTTGTCGCTTCGTTAAATTCAGGTTCGTTAAGACCTGAGGAAAAATAACGAAAGCTCGAGTTTGCCCTGAGTCTGGAGACATTGCAGTTCATGTGCATTGCGCAACATTGAACAGTAGGGAGTAAAATTGGTTCTCGCGCCAATAATCACACTAATTTCCAGTCAGACCACTGTCTTCGGCCTATGGTAATACAGATAGAGATCTAGCGAACAAAATTCAAGGAATCACTAACCTAGGAGATTGACGATGATGGCAAAGAAGGGTTTAGCCTGATGAAATAGGAAATTCTGCACTGGTAGCTGGGAGGTCTTCCATGATGCGAATTCGTGGCTCTTTGTGTTCATTGCCGATTTAAGGAAGCGACTGCCATCGGAGAACTGCAGCCCAAAGAAATCTAGCTGCAAGAAGATAGGAGAGGGGGAAGAAATGAGACTAAATCTGACACTTACGATGGGTGCAGGGACGTCCTCATTGTCCAACTCCTCCTCTGGTACGTTTGCGTAGATTTGTTGGCCATCAAGATCCACTACACGGGTAGCGTAGGTGATGTAAGGTTTGGCTTCCTTAACCAAAAATAAAGAATCATCCCCTGCTTGAAGGCTGTCATTTCGAAGCAAATCTTATACTTCTTCTTCATTACAACAGTTTAACCGAACCAGTCTTATACGACCTTAGGCTAACAGCGAGTTGTGAAGTTAACCTCGATCGACTGTGAGTAGGTCAGCAACAATGCTAACATCATGATAAAACTTAAAAGTATTGCGTTTGTATACGCGAGCTCTGATACTTACATCGAATATACCATGAGATCACGGTGAAAATACTTCCATCCTTGGGGTCGCCTAATCCCCTCAGGAATAACTCAGACTTCGCCATAAGGCCATTACAAAGGAACAGGAATTAGAGGCTTCATTTTGACAGTACTACCCAACGCAAAATTTGGAATCGCAGAGACTCCAGTTGGAAAAGCCATGTAAATTACAATAACCTTAAGCCACTGTCTTTAGCTCTGTGATTAAGACGAGAGAAACCACATTACCGCTTCAAGTGCCTACACTTCTAGGCTTGTAACGGCATAAATTGCATACGCAAAACGAATGAAATCAAAAGGTAATTAGTCTGGTATTTTTTCCTTACCATACGAGTTTTATCAGCGTATTGTGAACCGATCTCAACGCTGTCTTATTCATACCTCTTCAATGTTTCGACGACCTATGTCTAGATGCTGTCATCAGGTTACATAAACGGAGGAGTCAAACTGTCGGAATCGCTAGACTCGATATGAAGGCAGCAGAATAACCAAATGACAGAATAGAGTTGTGAATATCGCGTGAATAATGTGAAATCGGTCAGTTACCAAAAGTGTGTTTAGCAAATCTGATTGCGGCAATCTCAAACAGCTTTGTGCTCAAATAGTATGAGAAAATGGGACTAAGAAGCAGCTACAATAGACACAACAACCTAAACCGTGCACTGAAACCTACTTATCCTCGAAGGGTACCGTTCAGTTTACAGGCTCTTACCCAATGCCCAATAACCACCAGTCGAACCATTCCATGGGATTTTGGACATCTAAGTAACTAGCACGAACTAACTTAAGAACTGCGAATGATCCTGAATAATCACCCTACCATCATCTTCGATGGGACGAATGACCGAGTAATCACCGACACGCTTCCATGGCCAGCTTTGAAACGTAACAATTGAAGAACCTTCCTGTTGGACGCATAGTACAATACTGAAGATGCTATGGCCTGCGACTTTGACACCTCTGCCGACGGGACAGTCGCAATCAACTAAAAACTGGCAGTCGCAGTTTTGCGCAAACAATCCCACAGGATTTGAAAGCACGGTGCTTACATAAGAATAAAGCAATCGGAATTTTCGATTCGTGTTGATTGAAGAGAAGCAACTTAGTTCACTTGGCTATGGACATGTCTTCACGTACTGCACGGTGCAAGTAGGGAGGAATCTGCTTTGATAATATTTTCAGTGATCTGTAATTGGACTCATACATTAGGGACACAAGCAACTAATAATCAAAAACTGTCGACTACTTATAGCACGCTCGAGTCCAAAGTTGCAGTCTAACAACCTTAAGAGTAACTTGAGCACTATGTGATCAGTAAACCATAAAATAAACCTGAATCCGTCTTGTACTTTCATGAAGAAGTGAAGGCAACACTATCCTCTTTGCAGGTCCAAATCAATCACAATTTTTAAGCAGCATTCGCGAAGCCCTCAAAACGATAAAACAGAGCAAAATCTCGGAGAGTTGAAGGGTGATTTTGAATAATCTTCCATGAATTGCGAAATTATTACTTCAAAGATGAGCGAAATAAGCAAACCCCATGGCAACGGTGCTAAAGCTAAATGGAAGAGCTAGCACATTCAAGGCATCCGCCAGTGTTAAAAAGCACTTTTCAACACTGTTGAAAGTGACCATCATTGACAAAATAGCAATGAATATAGGAGAACAGTCCTCAGTAGCACTTTGGCTCAAAACTATAAATCGCTGGCCAAATAGGCTGCGTTAGTGCTTGAAAAAGACCGACAACAGCGGCCTATAGGAGGAAGAAAGGTCAACCACTCACCTCATATAAACAGGAGTGAATTCCGGCTATGAAGGGCACGGGTGACCTACAGATGATAAGCCACAGTCGAAAAACCTACTCAAGAATTTGTAGAAACTTCCTTGACAACACTGGATATATCGGTGCAACCCTGGTTGGACAAATAGATAAACGCAAAACCAAAGTGAGCATTTACCATGAGAGAGGATGGAGCAGTGAGACTGCAGCGATAATACAGTAGGTTAGGCGTTGTCGACTCTTTGAGTAGAAGAGAATGCTCTTCTCCAAAAGCATACTGAATCACAAGTGGAGTGATGGAACGACCTCTCTTACCTGGTAAAAATGTCTACCCATTGATGGGGCTCCAATGAATAATAGTGTTCAAGAGCCTTCTGAGGAAGAGAGGAATTAGTTATACAATGAAAACTTACCAAAAAGTGAGGGTTGTTGGGGTTTGGTATGGGTAATCGAATATCCTGCCAAGAGGAAGCACGAAAAAGGATAAACTCGAAAGCAAAAACTACGTCGGTCTGTATGTGTGAGAGCGCTTCTGAGGCAATAAATTTGCGTGCCCTACGCACAAAGGCCAATGACATAAACAGTGGGGTCATGCCGAGGCGGCACCATCGTCACCATTGCAATGAAAGTGCAGGAGTTAAGACGTGCTTTTAACGGAGCATGAAGGCCAAAGAGCAGTGCGGCTGCGAAGTGCGTAGGCCACTCGAAGAACAAAGCATGCGTGGTTCAAGTGGATCGGGCGGGCGAATTAATTACACAGCTTGAGTTTTGTCTACTTCTATTTATGGTAAGAGACATTTGTTTTTTTTTTTCAGTCTATTCGGAGAAGTTAGTATAACTCACTCGACGATGGGTTGGGGAAAACCTATAGCCGCTCGTCGAACGGTACTGCAAAATCAATGTTAGGATGCATTTGGATCATTTGTTGAGTATGATGCTGGCAAAGTGCCGCAAATAGGACATGTCTACACAAAAGGAAACCCTTAAAAGCCTAGGATTCGTGAACGCTAAAACAGTAACAATATGAACCTACGATTGCCAAATGCCTAAAATTCTCAGGCACCTTTACTCTCGCGAAAAAGTTATCCTCCTTTCTATGGTGGTTCGTAACATGTGCATGTCTTCTGCTTCAGGAAACTCGACACAGCACCAACATTCAGCACCTCTTCAAACAGAAAACCAAACCAAACAGTATAAACTTAAGTCAAAAATACACGCATTTGTGGTTCAAGATATAACTGTGAATGAATGAGCTGCCTGGTAAACTGCTAGAAGAGGATATCATATGAACCAAAAGGAGGGTAAGTTTGATTCTGAAGTGCGCGTTGGTTAACAAAACTGGAATCCAAGATGTGAGCGGCAGTAAAGCGCGGCATACAAAATGTCCTAATCAATTAACCCCACAATTTCCGCCAGCTTCACACAAAAGCATTCGAAAGTTGTTGGCGTTTTGACACTGCAATCTTGACTGTTTATAGAAACAATTAACAAGCTTCAACAGAGCCCATGAATTCAATTACAGTTTTGTGTGTGAGCACACACGGCACTCACCCCCAATGCTAAGCAAGAAACAAAACCGCTGTAGAAGTGAAAAAGTGTAACAGGTTGCGAGAGGAAAGTGTCATTTCCGTTTAAGGTTTGTATGGCTTTGAATTGTGCTTTACACCAGATGGGGTTAAGGCACATCAGCAAGCGGTAACGTAATTTATTCAAGACATCACGTTATAATTGCAGTGATTTCCTGAATGGGGAATACTCTAGATACCACCCCTGAGAGCTCACACCTCAGTCATAACAAGCCAACAACTTGTTTCTTTTGACTGTTGTAAAGACGACTATGCTTTGTATAAACACATTTTAGGACATGTTTCAGGCAGAACCAAGAGCGATGTCAGAGCTGTCGCAAAAGTAATGAAACTCCACAGACCTAATTTGTGCGAAAATAAGGTGGCTGGAAGTGAGACAGCTGTCCGCGACTGGTAGTTCGATTATGTACGCTAGATGTTATATGCTCACCCAAGATGCATAGGCATGATCGAAATAAACTTGACAGACCCGTCAGTCCAGCAACATTGCTTGGCGAGAACATTTACAAACCGGTTCAATAAAGCGATTTTTGGATTAGTAGTAAAATTTTTAGTAGGAGAAAATCTATCCCAACAGGTGACCGCAGCTGCAAGGGATGGTTGTGACCAAAGGACAATGGCGTCTTGTAACATTTCCCGACCACCCTAATTCTTCCCTTCCGCCTTGACAACGGCACTGCAATTATGCGTAAAGAAGTTCATAGGGGGACGAAAAACCTTTTACCAAACACAAGGTAACGCGTGACGTACAACTACCGTAAGTGTTGGTAATGTACTAAAAGAGCTCAATGAACTTGTAGGTCTTGACAGAACATTATACCTGTAAGACAATCTAACTTCGTGTACAAAATAAGATGAAAATGATGCATCAAAAGGTAGATGGGAAATGGACACCAGTGTAAAAGAATAATGCAAAGGTAGGGCAAACGACGGATACCAACGATGTGAGTGATTTTGGCTTCAGTATGAATTATGTCCATAACAGCGACTCAAGAGAGCATAAGTGGTGTATCATAGAGTTTACATTGACTACAGTAACTCCAGAAGAGCACAACTTCAAGTAAAAGTTCTGCTGAAGAGAAGACCAAGGTACGCGGAATCTGTGTAGGGAACAAATTAACGAAACAAGTTTGTCATTCTAGCGATGATAAACGACTTAAACATCCATATTCCATTCTATTTAGAAGCAAGGTCACTAGCGCGATGGAAGTGGTCAGTCGAAGCATACGGATGTGACGTTAGAATGGAAACAGAAATGTGAGAAGTGAAGGGATTTAGGAGTGACAAAGCTTGCCAATGTATGACTGACACTGTAGTAGTGTTGAAAAGTGCATCAACAAGCGTACAGCCAAATGGATGACAATTCAAGAAACACAACTCTGAAGGGCTAAAATCACCTAGCCGTGTCTGAAACGTATTTGTCGATCACGGGATTCGAGATGTACAACTGTAACTCTAGCAACGCGTAGCCAGTCTGATGGAAGGCATTTCTTCCGAAAAATATAATTATAAATAACAACGAAAAAGGTTAAAAGAGGTTGTGCGAGGAGAGGGCATCAGAAGCCAGCTAGCAACAACTCGGATATGACAACTTCCGTATTGTTATTGATGAGAATAGCAGAGGAGTAGAAAGGAAGTGGCAGAGATTACTCGAAGGGCACTTATTAAATTACTGACGGGAGAACGAATTTATGCAATGAAAACAATTCAGTCGCACTGGACGGGAATCATAGCATCTTGACTTAAACAGCTAAATGTCATTAATGCAGTCATCTCATACCACAAGAAATCGTTTCTGTGACTGGCCAGAATATTCCATAGTGAGGCTATTTTATCTACAAGAATGCTTCAGCCGCATGCAACACAGGCGAAAGTAAATTGGATAGTAGTAATGATAATTCTGTGAGGGCAAGTAATGAGCATTTTGGAGAAAAAAGTAAGGCATAGACAAAAAAAGTTGTAAGAGCGATAGTGACGCACTAAAAACATACGAAAAGGAGGTATTAAAATAAAAAAAAAACAGTGTCCACACTAGCGGGTGCAAAGCGAACGACCGAACCAACGAATGTACGAACGTATGGATGAGCGACCAAAAACAACAATTACCATAGCTTACCATAGGAAGGTTACGCACTTTGGATTGCTAAAATAATCCACAAATACCCAGGATTCTTCCAAAAAACCGCAGAAAACAAACAAAACGTACAAAACAAACGACCCTCTCAATAATTATAAATTCCCGGAAAAGGAGAAGGCTTACCGTACTTGGAGTCTGGGGTAGTGGGTATGGAATGGAAATGGCATTCTTCTCAGCTGGTGGAGGCTTCAAGCCATACAACTTTAAAATAAACTGTTGAAGTATAGAAAGTTGATCGTGTTTATAAAGCTCCTTCGATTTGACTTCTTCCAATAGACGATGGAAGCACTCAAACCATGGTAGGTAACTAAACAGCGTAAAAACAAGAACTAGCAATCTACCTGGTAAAACAAATAAAAATGTCTTCGATAGTTTGGAGACAGTGGGCATATTCGGATCGACCTTCATTATCAGTGAAGAGAAGGATGTAAAACTCCCCGCAACGAGGCCTGAAAGTCAAGTGTGAGGAAGAGGAGAAGGTACTACATACTCTCTACAACAGCCTGGACCAAACTCAATGAGACGGTCTACGAATTCGCGGCCAGTGGAAATAGGAAAAAGAAACCTGGCTAGAAAATCAAAGAAATGAATAAGCAAGAGCAAACAACACTAATATACAGTAAGATGTATAGGAGCACTTCATATAAGGCAGTAAGACTCAAGAAAATCTTTCGACGTCCGATAAGCTTATAAGCGTATAAGGACAAAAATAGGACTACAGAGAAGAAAAAGCGACTTACTTAAGCTTTTTTCAATTTCATAAATGACAAAAAAGTTGAAGAGACTCTCGGAATTTCTAGAAATAGATTAAAAGACAAAACCACAAACCTAGTGACTAGATCAATCATCCGCACAGAGATGACCAATCGGAACGGCAAGTGAGTTCCTTGAGGGTTGCACTGTAGCATTAGCTAATTTAAACACATTACAATAATTAAGTAATCTTGACAGAGTTTTGGTAGCTTTCCAATAAAAAGTCAGTTGCTTATAGCATATGCTCAAAAGCATATTGCTAACCGAAAGAAAATCAATTGTTAGAGCAACCTTGCCTAGTTAAGAGCAATATATGATAAGTTTAGGCTTTAGGTAAAATGTAATGCTAATGTTTATCAAACTTTTTTAACTGCAAGACTACTTATTGTTTGTGCAGGAACTGCCCGTTGATCCTAATGCTCTCAGATGAAGTTTAGTGGAGGAGATTTATTAGGCATTGTAAACAGGAAGAACGGGGATAAGAATAAAGACGAGCCGAATAGTGTATATTATTCGTAAACGGATTCATCATGGTCCTCATGCGCTGAATCGCGTTTGAATTTGCTTCTCACCTCTTTCTTATATAGGTCAACTCAAACATTCTAGTATATATTATATCCTGCCGTTCGAGGCACTGAGCCACACCAGAAGCGACGCTGTACCATAACCTCCTTAGACTGTGGATACTAAAGAATATCAAATAGTCGGCCATGATAAAGGGATCGGCTCTTTCCTTTCTGTCAAATACATAAATGTGCTAAGTGTTAGGCCTAATATAATTTTAGAAATTATTGTAGCTCCACGCTTATCAAGTCGGAAGAAGAACTGACGGCATACTGTAGTCTCAAACTCGTCATGGCCGAAATCCTTACCTGACGCATCCACAGGAGACACTTTGCATACATTTGTAAAGCCTAACATTGTAGGTATGTAAAATCAACATTGTGAAAGTAGAAAAGTATTGCACAAATAGAGTGCATCTTAAGAAGCGTCCCAAGACTTCCTAGCTGTATACATATATTCCAAGGACGACAGAGCAAATGGGCTTGGGCATAACCCGAAGGTTAGCCCACGTGTACAAAGCCAGACAAATCCTTAAGTGGCTGCCGAACGTCACATAGAGCATTATAATTACCACCCGCCAAGATGTACAACATCGATTAGCATAATAGTTTTATGCATCGCGCCTACCTTTAGCAACAAAAAATGGGCCTTGGATGTATGGAATCCGGCAAGAGTGTTAATTAGTATCAATTTTTAAAGTTTAAAGAGCCACCAAGGAGAAGTATCTGTGGTAATTTAACTGCTTCTCTTTATCCCAATCAAAACATTAACAGCGGTAAAGTTTAGTAATGCTTCACTTCGCTTGCTTGGCTTATAAACTCGGTTAACTTTGTTAAATTCGCGTTTTCATGGTTCAAGTGTCATCTTCTTTTTGCAAAACTAAGACATTTGCTGGCAAAATATATTTTTTTAAAACAATGGTCTCTTGCTTATTTGGGATAAGTTCAAAATTCTGTTTTATCATGGTAGTGCTGCTTTGTAAAGAAGAATGTTAAGTAATGGTAAATATACGTAGTCAAGAAGCAGGGCATGAGACTAGACTCTGGCTTTGTTCGATAGACATCGTGTGCCAAAAAACTAAGTTTAATGCAAAGTAACCCCCAGACATAAAGCAGATTATGCGTTTATTGTCAAAACCAACATGTAAACAGACGTTTCATGTGATTAATGTGTTCGTAAAGGTGAGAGGCGGAAGTTTACAGTTATTCCGCTCTAGAAGTAGCTGCTAAGCTGACGACTACTCCTTATAGTACAATTGGAATTCCATACGCTTTTTAGCATTGATCTGCAATGCCGAAACATACCAGGTCTGCCTTTATAAAAATCTCAAGGGTTGAGGTCTGAATAGGGACCTGCGGCTGCATCAGGTAAATCAGATGGACTAATTGAATGCACTTATCTGACCAGCAGCAATAGGTCGGGATGAATACTTCCCCTGCAGCAGAGGGCAGTTTTGAGTGCATCCTCCTGAGACTTTCCATAGGGTGGAAGAAGGCAGCAAGTGGGCTGAATACATGAATCCGAAGGGAATAAAGGAAATGAGACGGAGCGTAGCCCGAAGGCCAGCCCACGAGTACAAGGATCAGACAAATCCTCAAGTGATTGCCGAACGTCAGGTAGTAAACTACACTAAGGGTAAGCCAAAGTAAGCATTGTAATATATTCTAGTTGTTTAAGCGGACTTTGATAGGCGAGAGGCGGAAACGAATTGGAAGCGTGGATCACGTGCGCGAGGTCAACGAGGAGCCTCCCTGCGATTGACACCTCCTGTTCATCACATCTGTATCTTATTCCCCTATCCTTCTTATAGAGATGCCTAATAAATCGTCTACAACCAACTTCCCCTTAAAGTCTGAGAACCAGGGACCAGAGGGTAGACAGGCAATTACTACAAGCATAACCCCCATCTGCCTCGTACTGCATCCTTTTTATTTTGTTTTATTCTTTTTGAATATAACAAATTTCATATGGTGTTAGAGCTGCCTGCCTACCCTTTTGCCCTTGAACCTCAGACTTCAAAAGAGGTTTGGTTGCCGATGACTTATTTGGCACTGGTTACAGAAAGAAGGGGGATTGGGATGCAGATGAGCCGAATAGGAGATATCAGCTGGAGAGGAAAGCATCACCGTCTACGCGCACATGATTCGCATTCCCAATCGATTCCCGCCTCTCTCTTATAAAGTTCACTTAAACAAAATGGAATGTATAACATATGGTTTATCAAAAGAAAGCAAAAGGACGTAGTGCAAACGCTGTCGTTTGCTTAATGCGGTCCTAAAAAATCCCGTGCGTGTTACATAGCGCTTACCAATATATATTTAGGACGGAAACAATTCGTTCTGCTCTTGGATTCCGGCCCTTTTTAAAACCCATTAAAATTAACTAAAACGTAGATAACTTACCCGCATTTGCTATGGGAATTTAAAATATAAAAATTTTTTGATAAAATATTACATTTATATCCCAAATTTTACACAAGTGATTTATGCTTCGTATTACCGTCAACCAGCATTGTTTTAATCCTTCAGATTAAGCGCAATTTTTTGTAATTCTATACTCTACCAATCCCGACTTGAGCTATGTCACTTCAATCAGAACTGGAGAAGCTGGTAGGCTTAACGGTTCCCTACTTTGTGTTCCACTTAAACGCCTTTTTCAATAATCAATATGTGAATGAGTAAATTCTTTGGTATCTGATTGATGCTATTGATTTTTCCCACCAGAAATAAAGTTCCCTGTCGGGTGGTTGTGCGTTCATTATAGGCTTTTTCATTTTATCTTTTTTTCTACAACTTCATGAACAACCTTTTTGCTAGTTTTGCCTCAAAATATGGTACGAACTCAGTCCAATGGTCACAGTGCGCATCCCAGAGCCTTCTTTTGATACTAGATTATACTATGTATTTCAATAACAGTAAAGAAAAGTTTTGTTTTGGACAGGTTGTAACCTATGGAGCCTAAAATAACTCAGGCTTAGATGTCCGTAGGTGCGGTTAGGATAGTTATAGGTGTGGTTTGTGTAGGTTAACCTTGTTTTATTAGCACTTTAAACTTATACTTCTTCTGATTTGTTGGATGGTTCGGCAATTATTTATAAAGCTGTCGGGTTTTAATTTGCAATTGCGACGCAATTACGCCATATTTTGTGGTTCACCTCCCTCATGGCTCACTGTAGCACTTGTGCAATGGCTTTTTTATATTCTTGGTCGACACATTTTATCGGTGCAGTCGACATACCAATGTGGGGTGCGCGTTACATTCCATGTTTTTGTCAACCTTTTGTACGAACAGAAATCTTTTGAGGTTACCAAGTCTATTGTACTTTATGCGTCAGTGAAAGCTGTTTATGTGGTTGTTGCGGCAATCTTGGACTAACTAGTGCTACGACCTGCGGAATGAGGGGAGGAATTGTCATGGCTATGTTACTATACTTGTGGTAACTGGATTCATCGTAATGTTTAGGCCAATGTCCGTATGCGCAGTGTAGCGTTATAACGTTATGCATGAGTTGCTGTAAGGTGGTCTTAGATAGGGTCGAACATTGCAGACCTTGATAAGCTTGAATGTGGAATGTGAATGCAGGTGTTGTTTGGTTCATGCAATCTGAGATACAGATCATAGAAATCGGGGTAAACTTTAATTGCAATGGTAGTACTGGTAAGAACCTTATCAAATAAAAGAATTTCTATGTCCGGCGCCGTTGCCGATTTTGGATATTCGGCATTCTCCTTCATTGTGAACTAGGTTTTGTGCGACAATATGTTTTTTGAATAAATAAATAAATGGCGTTAGGAGCTTTTGGATAGGCTGTGAACCTTTGGCGGCATCAAAGTAAATTGTGCTAATCTTAGATTGAAGCATGTATAAGATGCGAGGAGACATAAGAGCTAATGCATATGTTCGGTGACTAACTAAAACAAACATGGACAGAACATCCCCTTTTGGTACAGATTTGGCTGTAGAAATCACGTTCCAATGATTGTCTGGTTGTATGCAGTCTTTATAGTTAGTCAATTTGTACTGTTTCCATTCAATCGTGCTCGTTTCGGCATGTTTTTTTTGAATTCCTTATCGGACACAACTATAAAGGAGTCATGTTCCATTTTTCTTCCCTTCTTTGCCGCTGTTACAGACCTTCATGCGTGCAAACGTTAGCTGCTTTGAAATGTTTTGCTACTCGACTTTGATGATCATGTTGCAATGAACTACTTGATAGCTTGGGGAAATTTCTTTTTATTGGTCTTGCACACATGTTCATCGATACAAGTTTCAAAGTTTCATTTGTCTTATAAAACCCATCGTCGGTGAGGTAGATTTTATCAGAAGAATCACTCTAATGCGATGATAGAGGACTTTCCATTATCCTATAGACCGAAGTTTACAGGAGACCAAATGAGAGGAAATCAATTGGTTATGTAGTATGCTCATGAGCCCAAAGTCTCTACATCTAGTCATGAGATTGAGTCAGTTCCCTTTCGTTGTGCCACTAGCCACCAGATGAGCGTCGGAAGATAGGCGAGTTGATTAAGGCGAAAGATAATAATCAACAGCAGTCAAAAAATGCCGGCGGGCCAGATACCTCGACGTCCTGGATGTATGAGCAACCGAAAGGTAACGCAGAGGATTTTCTACTGGGCAAGGCCATTCGCAGTCTGGAGGAATTGACAGAGATCAATCGAGATCAAGAAGAGGAGACCCCGGCCCAACGACTCACTCGTCTCGATATGGAAGCTAAGTTCCGAGAGGATCCACTCAATCTCATGCGGTGGGTTTGCTTCTTTCTCAAAACATCAGGCTGTTTCATACTTTTTCGTTCGTTAATTATTCCTTCTCTTCATTGATCGGCTCACTAACCTTCATTTTATCTTTCGTATTTTGGAAATTATTCGGTCTCCATTGGGCCATTAAATTAGTCTTCCCCTAATCGAATCCCACTCCTCACGTGGTGTTTTGTTCTTTAGGCAGCACGAGATGGATAAGAGAAGCGCACTTCTTCAAAACACTGCAAGAATGAAGAAGCTTCAGCACCTGGTTTGTAACCTTTGGTTCTCATTGCCTTTGCTTCTTTTTCCTTAGATTGAATTACAAAATCACGCGAAGGAGAAAGCAGAGAAAAGAAAGGAGGCGAAAAAGATTAGGAATAAGGGAAAGAAAAAGCGAAGGCGAATTTCTTCTTCATCCACTGATTCCTCAGAGAATCCAGAGGATGATGCCATTTTGGAAAAGTTTATCAGTCTCATTCGAAACCCAGATGGAAAGAAAGGTAAATCCCAAAATTCTAGCAAAGGAGAAGAGAAAAAAAATGAAAAGAAAGGAAAACATCGTCATGCTCACCATTCTCAGAAAATGAAAGTTAACTTGCCGTCTAATGAAAAATTCGTCCCCTCAAAACACTTATCACCATTACACCATCCTCAAAACTCATCTTTTGAAGAACCATCGATTCGTTCGAATGACAGATCTAGACGCAGATCTATATCTACATCGAATACTAAGGCTCCCAGAGACTCCGCCGAGGATCGGAACACCCGTAAAACAAGATGCAAGTCTTCTCGATCCCCGTGTTTCAACCAAAGCTCTCAGAAGCAGTCTTGTGAGGATTCTTTCAATCATACTGACAGTAGGGTCCGCCGCAGATCGAGATCCAGGTCTCAGAGAAAGTCTTATGGAGGTCTTATTGATGATGGAAATCGACATCGACCCAAATCCAAATCCCCTTTTTCCACACGGAGGCAGGTTTCTGCGGATTCCTCGCATTGCTCAGCTGATCGATTTCGATGCAAGTTTAGGTCCAGTTTGAAGGGTAACCTACCCAGAAGTTATCAACATCACAGGGACGACAGAACTCGATATAAATCAAGATCCAGATCCTCTACTAATTCTCCACATCGACGTCGATCGCCACCACCTTCGAACCTGCATAGGCGAAATAAACGGAGTTCGAGGTCCAGGTCTTTTGAACGAAGTTACCGAGAAGGGGGACATCGTCGGACACAAGAAGAGATGGCAGCGCTAAGGGCACAGATGATGGCAGATGCAAAGGAACGCGAAGCAGAGCGTCGTCAGCGTTTTGAAAAGCATCAAATGGAAACGGCGAAGGAAGATAAGATGGAAGGGGAGGCGAGAGTCAAACATGGGGCCTCATTTTTGCGAGGTCTTACACTGGACCATGTGGCTTCCACTTCAGTGGAAGAAGTCGTCCAGAGGAATGCAAAATCGAGGCAACGGGGTGGGATGGATGAGAATTTTCTGAGAAGATAAGAGGGCGTTGGGTTTTGTAGCTCTTGCACATGTGTAAATACTATTTTTTTTTAACATAAGCGGATAGTCTTGCTTCTCTATGTTGAAATTATCCCTTTGTGGATGTGTCAATTTCTAGACCCGTATGGGTAATTGCGTTTGAAATTTCGACGAAAAGTTTAAAGATAGGACCTGTTACTGATGAAGAAAGTCGGTTTTGCACCTACGGTTCATCTTATCATCGAGCTGTACTTCTCCTGTACTATTGTATGTGCGACTAAGGCTTTTAACGCTTTGTTCAACGCATAGATGACACTGTTCTCTGTCGGTGACTGCATGAGGAGATTCTGCTGCTCCAGTCTAGATGGCATGAGCTGTAATGGGTTTTACCGACTCCTAATGCCCTTTAAAAGTGATGAGTTGACTCTAAGTACCCTTTACTCAATTGTTCCATCCACTGGGGCCAAAAATGATACTTAAAGACCGTGGATTGAGTTTCCTGCTCCGACAACTTTTACCTACTCTCTAAATCCTAAGTAAAAGCTTAGTTACTTTGCACGTTGACTCAAGCCTGACAGTCACATTTTTGGGTAAATTGCTCCTGATGTGAAGATGACCATTCGCAGTTTGTATTATGGTTTTCACCCACGGCAGTGTGGATGTCGTTGAGCACTATCTGCATTTATTGTAATTTGGTTGCATTGCTGTCCAGCAGTGACTGAGGCCCCGGTGGAAAACATTTGTGCGTGATATCGGTTATTGGATTACCCTCATAGCCTTTTGGGGTGCTCGTGTAAATAAACGAGTTTGTGGGTCCTGGAGTCAACCTTAGTGGCTTCTACTTCTTTCCCACATATTTTCATACATAATACCTGCGTAAATACTTCACTAAGGTCAGCTTCACATCCCAGTTTTGTGGACATTAACAGCAACGATCGGAATCTAAGGCTTCCCGCCAAGATCAGTGTGTTGAGATAGCAGGCTATCGCAGCTCAATCTCAATACAAAGAGATCAAGATAATGCTCTAGAGCATTTTATTGTCTTTCGTGTCTGCTTGACTTTATTCAGGTGCGTTGACTATTTGACTCCTGGATAAAATTAGCCTTTCTTTGGAGGCAAATTCCATATTAGTATTCACGTTTGTTCTGCTAGTACTCACAGGGAATCTCATTCAAACCTAATTTATACGGTGTCTCTTGATCTCGGACGACTATCGATGCCTAATATAGGTCGAAAATTTTCCCAAAAACTGTCAAGCTTGTTAATTGTGGAAATATGAGATGAATGTCATCCACTTCTACCATTGGTTAGTACGAGCCAGGTGTTGATTGGTCTGAGAATTTGATTGGTTATTTATGAGATATGCATTATCGCCCAATGACTCAGCACTATGTACGCTTATTTTTTTCACTCAAATTGTTTGGGTAAATAGTTGATGTTTATGGCTCTGCGACAGAACTCACCGGTACATTAGTGTCCTTAACATTAAGTTTTTCACACAAGGCATTTATAAATGAAGGGTGATGAAATACGAATTTACATTACCTTACCCTTAAAGGACTGGATATGGGTGTTCTACGTTGCTAGGGTTCGGCCCTTCGGGGTTAAAAAGAACGAGAGAGTTGTAATGTAGTACGTGTGTAACGATTCGCATCTTGGTCGTTGAATGTGCTAGGTGGATAAAATTGAGTTTACAAATTTAGCAGGAGTGGCCGTTAGCTATTCTTGAAACCAAAGGAAAAACAAAGGTTGGTCCTTGTCTTGATCTTTGATAAGATGACTTTTAACAAAGGGAGGAGCAACTGCGCTGGAGACGTTACGCAAAACACGTGTTTTCATAGTAAATTTGTCTACAAAAGATAGTTTTTCCTTTGATATTGCTTCAGTACACTTAAGACTCCTCTCACAACAAGTAGTCTCTATCACCACTGTTCATCCTTCTCCCCACTCTATAGGGGGAATTCAACTGATACGGATGGAGGGGAGCGGCTTGCTAGCTGCAACTTAAATTTCTAAATAGTCATAGAATGGTTTTAAGCCGAAAACGAGATTTCAAAGCTGACACTCACAGACCCGCTTGACTGCCTCCATTTATGTCTTACTCCCCAATGTGGAGTTTGGTTCTTTGCAGTTGATAACCCTGTGTAGAGTGTGATTAATAATAATCTTATTTGAAAGTTAATTTTGAGCTCATTGCGACATGAGGATAGCGACAGAGACGACTAACATGGGATAATGATAAACCAACAAGATTAAGCCTGCACTATCGACCAATCAAAACAGTGGTTATTTTTTGTCATATTCCGAGTCTGAGAGCAACGATGCAAGATGAAGGTTGGGTGCTGCTTTACTAATCAAGCAATGCTAAACTCTTACGCATTCTCACAACAGTGATGCTATTTTTACATCACCATTGACGCATAAGAGGGCCAAATCATACTGCGAATTTCACTAAGGCAGAAAAGTTGTTATTCAAATGCTCATCAATCATAAAAGTTCATGCACCAGAAATGAATAAAATGGCTATTCCTTAACTTAGCAACGAATGGGATTTGAAAGACAGTCGAATCGCAAACCATGCGAATCCTGCGTCGGTGGCCTCCTATCACGGAAAAACAGTAGAGGTGGCAAAACGTTCCCACGCTGAAATAAACATCTTCGCTTCGTTTCTAGCCGACTAATGATGTTGCAGACTACATTTTGTTTAAAAAGACGTAAAGCTAGCGGTCATCAGTAGAATATAAGTCAAGTTTATTTGCTTACTTAGAGTGGGTTTTGAGAATATTCTGTTCCTAGTTATTTTTCGTATACAAAGCGAAAGATGGTTGCCTCTAAGGTCGCCTTTCTAACAAACATTTTTTGTGCGAATAATTTCGGTTATATGGTGTCAATAAATAACTGAGTAAAAGGCTTCCTTTGGATACTATATCATCAAGAGTGGTGACCGTGCTTTCAAATGACTCTCAGCTTTAGAAGTTTAAAAAGTTGACTCTAAAGCACCTCGAAAATTTCTCGAACACGTAATGCTCTGGCAAAGAATGTACTATCAACGTGGGGAAGGGCTAAAGGGCTGTGGTGTGGAGCTAATGCCATTATATCCAACTAGGCAATGCAAATAAGGCTTGAACAAACTACTAAAGCATTACCTCCTTTTCTCTCCCATTGGTGTTCAATTCAGTTCTCTTCGCAGTTAACCTCCAACGCTGGTCATCACAACCACCCCAGTCATTGGATTCGCGTGCAACTGGGACGATTTAGTGATGTACCTTCACTGATCTCTCCTAGCAGTGGCAATGATGATGGAGTTTTGACGGTCCTTGTAAGCTGGCTTGAGGGAAGAGAAAATGTATAGACCGGCATGCATTTCCATTGATTGTTGAGAGAAGAATGGTCTGCAAACAGAGTTACTAGTAGGGGTCAGGGCTCACCAAAGATTTATGAAAACATGATCCTATCTTTACTTTTTCCTGTCATTTTGTTCTCGCTTGAGTACTGTCCCCTTATATCCGTTTACCTGGGTCTCATTCAGCCTGTGGTGAGGCAGAGGAAGCAGTGCGCTTTAACTTTATTTGCAACCTCCAAAGGGTAGTTTCAACTTATTTTTAACAAGACTATTAAGATAGTTAATAAAATTTGTCGCTGGACAAGACTGTGGCTTTTTGCGCCCGTCGGAAGTTGGTACAGGCTTCACTTTCCGCAGTACCTCCCTTTCTTTCACTGCATCAGTCTTTAACACTTTTGTAAGAGGCATTAGAATGATTGTTATTAGTACATTTTTCCCAACGAAAACATTGTTTAATATGCTCAGTTAGGCCCGATTGGATACTAGCAAAGGAACAAGTCGTAGATTCCGCATCTCTCGGTGTTTCAAGCACTGTCTTATGCTCTGGGACCACTGGAATGTTTATCAAAAGTAAAAATAAAACAGCACAATAAGCATTCGCTAATATAGACTCGACACTGGCGGTCAGTGAGTACACCTTTTTACGTCCTCAAACAGAACTTGGAATTGCCACAACGGGCAGAGAAACGCTTTCATTCACTATTCTACAAACTGTTTACATGCAGGCACTTATAGTCCTCTTTTGGAAGGTTAAAAGGCATTTAAGGCTATAAATTCACGCACCACGGGAGTTCCGTAGGTCATATGTCATTTGAGTTTCATAAAGCCTTTTTTCCGGTGTTTGGCAGCAAAGTACTCCTATAAGCGAAGTGTACGACTTAGGTGCCTTCTAAAATGGCAGTGCCGATAGGGTATTTGGAGGGGGCGACCGCTTTTCGACGCAGTGTGTGGCAAACTGTTCAGAGTGAGAAAATCAAAGCCTTACATGGAGGTGAATCTGGTGACAAATAAGTTAACATGAGAGTCCATTCATTGCACAGAAGCCTTCTCTCATAAAAGCCTTGCGAGACCTTTAAAAAGAGGTTAAAAGTTTTTACTTTAAAGGCAATGCATAAATTTTAAAGTTTTTTTGACAAAAGCTGACTAATATTGCTAGGTTATTGACAGCACTGAGTGTGATTTTGGGAGGAAATAACAAAAATACGGTGTGCGCTTTTTGACTCCACGGCTCCTTGTGAGGACCAGGACGACTTAGCCATTCGCTACTACACAGCCATCAGAGGCTAATGTCTCTTGTGAAACTGTTTTCCATTTAAAGGAGCAGTCCATTTCACCTAACATCCCTTACTCAAATAAGAGACAAGTAAAATAAGAAAGCTAGGCACTCTTATGTTCGCCACACTTTATATCCTTCCATTTATGCCATTCACTCTTCCCGTAGAATATGCAAAAGTAAGAAAGCAAGTCACCGATACGTGCGCTTACTGAAGCAACCGAATTTGAATGCCTGCGCCTTTTCCATCCTTTTCAGATGGTTCAGGCTTTTCGCTTTTAAGGACTTCTCTCTAAGCTTAGATTGGCATAGATTATGTTTGATTCCGATTTGCTAGAATGCTCTATTGTATTACGGAGAAGACTTGCAAAGTGTGAAGCAAGAGCGTTTGTCTGCTCGTCATCTCAACTCATAAGGCGCCAACTGAGAGAATGTGGCAAAACCAGTCAATATTTGCATCGTTTTGCATTTGTCAGAAGAGCCAATTCGGTTGACACCAGTTGACGTGCCTGCTAATTTATTTTCAGCTTTGGAGGTTGGAGCATTATCCATTCGACAATTGGATGAGAGCTTTAAAAGAATTGTTTTGCTAACAGCAAGTTGACTAGCGCATATTTTTACTTCTTCTAAGGTTAACTTTTCATCTGGATATTCACCAGTCCATTTCAAAGCCTTTTACAGCGAATCAGTCACTTCACGCATCTACTTGAGGTTCGTCTCTCCTATGTTTTGTCCACAATCCACACAATTTAGGTACGAGGACATGAGTTGAGCTTAATCGCGTCCTATGAAAGTAGGATTTATTCTGTTCAACCATCTGCCTTATAATGGTTTTGCCCATCAATTCATCCAAGAGTATTACCATCGGTGCATTTATCTCTCTCCTAACAGGCCAGTCCATCCACTCATCCTCCCACTCATACATTAAGTCATTTTCTTCCTCCATTTCCTCTTCCAGCTTTTTTTAGCCGTACCGATCTATCATTCCATCCATCTGGTTATTCAAACTCCTAGTTACCCATCCAGAAGTCGCTTGGCAGATCCCATTAATATGAGGCTTAACTACCACATTTACGTTGACCTCTCCCATATTCACTAACTATTTGGTCCATTTTCGGTCATTATGGACACAACCATGGCAATAGAAATACCCAGTAATGTGTTCAATCCTAAGTCAAATCATCGCCAGTCCACCGCCTTTTCCGTTTTTTTCAACAAACTGTCAACATTGATGACTTTAGGTGGTATCGATGCGCTCCATTTAAATTTCCATTTCGTCATAAATTAATTTAAAAGCTTTAAAATGGCTTCAAGTAAGCTAGAAAACGGAGCAAAATTTGCACATCTTTGAGGCGTGAATTGATGTGGCCTACTGAACGAATGAATTAATTTTTTGTGTATTGCGCAAGCTAAGCAGCCTCTCGTTTGTTTGCTTCGAATGGGGCAGTGTAAAAGTGTGGTAGTGAATTTATTTATGCACTTTTACTTCCAAACCTGGCTCATAAATTACTTGCGTGCATTGATGGTCATTTACAGAAGTGAAAGAGACATAGTTGTTTAGTGGGTTAGAATTTATGAAGAGGATTAAATTAGCATAAGGTATACATCAAAGTGAGGGATTTAATTACTTTTTCACTTTGCCTCAACCTTTTGTTTAAAGCCTTTTTCTATGGATTCCCTTTTGGCGTCTTTACCTCATCTTTGATCCTCAAACTCCCTTCCTCGAAAATGAGGGTGACTCGGAGGAGGTGATGGAGCTAGTGCTAGTATCAGAGGAGGTGGAGTCATCAGAATCATCGTCACTACTACTACCTTCAGCACTGTCTGAAGATGAAGTGGAATCAGAGTCGCATGTTGACGATGGCGACGACGACGACGGCGATGACGACAAAGATGATGATGACCCGTATGATGAAGTTGAATCGGAGTTTGAGGAAGTGTCTGAATCAGAAGTGTTACTGCTTGAAGTATCCTCTTTATAGCTGGAACATTCTGAGCTGTCTGATTCTACGACTGCTTTGCTCTTCGTCCGTGTTCTCCCCTTGGAACTTTTATCTAATTCGGCAATAAGCTCAATTTTCCTAAAAAAGTGCATACGAACCCTTGAGAAGTACATGAAACTCCACCAACCACAAGCAATTCAAAACCAGCGCCATGATCCTCCAAACAATGAGTAAAGAAAATTGTAAAGCAGGGAGCTAACAAAGTGATAACCCAAGACTGGGATCACTCGCCACATTCAAAGTGCGGCGCAACTAAAACCTTTTCATTCACAGCAAATCTCATATATATGTGAGTCCACTAAAGGCGAATCAGCTGCAATCCAAAACCACCAGTATGGCGTTTATTCGAGCCTGTTCTTTGCTTTTGTCTCTATACAGCCAAAGGTCCTTTTGTATATAATAGTTAAAACAAGGCAGCAAAAGTTAAGAGAGCAAATTCGCTCGATTAGTTACCATGCATTGTGACACCGATGGCAAAATAATCAGCTTTATTTCAGACTTTAATACAATCTTCAAGGGTTAAGTTTGGGTTATAAAGATAACAGAGGCGATGTACACAATTTCTGCTCCTAAAGTTGTCAGTGGTGTCTTGAGTTTGACCTCCGACTTGAAGCTTTAGCAGCAACATAGGTGGTTTTGTAGTTGCATACTTCTTTTTTTTCATTTCGTGTAGCTGAAGATTGAGACGATTTTGACACGGACTTGATTCTTCCCGCATCTCTAACTTTCGACTTTGTTGAGGACGTTTTCTGGGAGGCCTTTGCATTTTTCGAAAAATCGGTTTGTGTCTGCTTGCCTTTGGTGGAAGGCTTGTGTGAAGAAGAGGATGATGATGTCGAGGAGGATGAAGAAGAAGAAGAAGAGGAGGAAGAAGAGGAGGAAGAAGAAGACGTAGAAGAGGAGGAGGATTTACGGTGCCTATCTGAGGTTTTCTTGACCCGAGCAGGCTGCTTCTTACTTTCTGCCTTCATTTCTGAGGCTTCAACTTCCGCCTTTTTCTTGGTAATTGTTTTTACTACAACCGTTTCATATTGCCTTCAAACACACAAAAAATTCGAGCTCATGGCTAGCGCAATTGGTTGTGACGCCGAAAATTTAAGTAAATTCAACTAGGAACCTAATGCATAGTCTCTGTTGAGCAGCTCAGTGGTACAACAATCAAAACTAACATATATTATGCTCCCAAATTCAGAGCAAAGGAAGGATTATCGATTAAACCAATAAGGCGAAAAATATTTAAAACCTACCTGTTAAGCCTTCTAAAAATACTCTTGAGCCTCTCATAGTATTCTTTTAGTGTATATTCCTCTTCTTTACTCGTCATATTTGGCTATAAGTAGCTAAAATACAAAGTAAAGGCAGGTCCGAAATCAAGCTATTCAGTTAGATAAGCAGAAAAACTAGCGAATAAAAACAACGCGTAAAGGCGCTGATGCACAGGAACTTAAAAACCAAAACTGATACGACAAAATATTCAATGGTTCTCTGCCATAAAGATGCCTTTATTGCCATGAAAGTCGGAAATTAGTTAGAAACAATGTTCATGCACACAGCTCACCATAACTTTTATAAAAGTACCGAGCTTTGCCTTTTGCAACCTACTGAAAATTAAAACATGTCAAGGTCGATTTTATTAGCTTTGTTCTTGAGGATTATTTAACACATCAGTGGCATATTATCCTCAACAGTCTCGGTGCAACCGTTCAAATTCGACAAAAAAGTGTAGCTAGACAACGAAACGAAGTTTGTTTTCATTCCTGCAAATTGCGCTTCTAAGCAAGTCTAGGTCACAAAATAGTAAAATTTCCCTTTTAATTTCACTTAAATGGCTTATTTAATCTATGCGTCAGAGTCAATCATTTCTAAGTATTAGGCTAATTCGATGGGATAGATTAGCAAGGGCGTGTTGCGCTCCTTTGTTCATTTAATCACCTTAAAACTAGCAGTTTCTTTAAGATTTTTATATGAAATGCTTTGTTTGTGTGATCACCTGACGTTCGGGCTAGCCTTCGGGCCACTTCCAAGCCCATTTGTTCGGTCGTTTTTGAAATACATGTATCCAGCTTCACTGCCTCCTTCCACCTCACGAGAAGTCTCAGGACGCTACACTGGTGTCAGCATGCATGTAC